TGGATTTGATATCCTGCTTTATCACTACCCTAAGGAGTCTCAAAGCGGCTAACATTCTCCTTTCCCTTCCTCCTCCACAACAAACACTCTGTGAGGTGAGTGGGGCTGAGAGACTTCAAAGAAGTGTGACTGGCCCAAGGTCACCCAGCAGCTGCATGTGGAGGAGCGGGGAAGCGAACCCAGTTCCCCAGATTACGAGACTACTGCTCTTAACCACTACACCACACTGGCTCCTACAATAAAACCACAAAAACCAGCACTATAGGAACACAAGGAGTTGCCTTATACCAAGTCATACCATCTAGCTCTGTATTGTCTACTCTGACAGGCAGTGTGGCTCTCCAGGATTTCACACATGTCAGGGATTGAATGTGGAACGTTCACCACTGAGCTATGGCTCTTTCCCAAACAAAACCAGAAACCAAAACAGGTTCAAGGCTCCAAAACAGACTAACCACAGTGTGCCTTTGAATGCCAGTCACTGAGAATCGCAAGTGAGGACAGTTGTTGTTGAGCTACAATTCCTATGAAGTTCCCCATGAAGAGGGATTGGACTGTTAAGCCGCTCTGGGAATTGTAGTTCTGTGAGGGGAATAGGGGCCTCCTCTCAGCACCCTTAACAGATTACGGCTCCCTGAATTTGGGGGGGCGGGGAAGCCATGACTGTTGAAAATAGCATCATGGCACTTTAAATGTATTGGTGGCCTTAGCCACGAAGAAACACCTGCCCTTTGGCACACCTTGAACTTTTGACAGCATTTCAAGGGGTCCCCAAATAACACAATATTGGTAGAACACTGTTTTCATTATTTATTTATTTTAAATAAAACTGCACTATTTCACTTGAAAATATGGATGGACTGAAACAATAAGCTCACACAAACTCCAGTTTCAAAACACCTCTGTTCATTCACCTGGCCATGTGGGTTGTCTCTCTCCTCCCCAACCCCACACTTCCCCCCCCCGCATATCCTATATTTCTGATTCCATTCCATCCCCAATCTGTCAGTTCATTTAACATACTTTATGCTCACACAGACAATTATGATGAATAATGAGACAAGATGGGGGGGGGGAGGAGGGAGTCAGGCAGGGCAACCATGGAAGAGGAACACGGTTGCTAAGGGAAGTGTATGTCTCTCTTGTTTGGGGAGATATCTCTGGATGGGATGACTGGGAGGGTGGCGAAAGGGCCACCTCAGGAGGGCAGGAAGCTGAGTCAGCAATACGATCCAATTGGTGGTTTCTAAACATGGGACCACACCACTAATTTCAGACGTTTCCAAAAGTGCAAAGTGGGGAGTGGACAGTGGTCAGGAAGGTAAGAAGTAGATAGCGGCAGGAGCCATGGAAAACATCCACAGCATGTAGGAAGGAGCGTGACAGGGTATATGGTAGGGATAAAGCAGAGCTTGGTGCAGGAAGCACATCCAATCTGCCATCTTGCAAAATCCACAGGTGGGCAACACCTTTGTTTCAGGGATGGAGAACCTGGTGTCCTCCAGCCGTTGCTGGACTGCTGCTCCAATAACTCCTGACCGCTTGCCATGCTAGCAGGAAACTGGAGTCCAAGAACATCTAGAGAAAATGAGTGCGGCAAAAAACAGCACAAAATGCCAGCAGCAGAAGATTCAGCACTGTCCCTCCTCAGACCAGGAAGGGAGCAGGGCAGGACTGGGGACCTGATGTTGCTGGACTACAGCTCCCATAATTCCTGGCTGTTGGCCATTCTGGCTGAGGCTTATGGGAGCTGGAGTCCAATGAGGGCATCAGGTTTTCCCAACCCTGTAGCTGGGGAAGAAACTGCTTCCTAAGGATAATAAGTATTATTATTATTTACGTTCGTATACCACTCCATCTGAAGATCACAAGGCGGTTCACAGCATAAAAATACAAAATGAAATAACAAAATACATAATAAAAGCATAAGAAACCAATGACCTCCCTCATTTAAAAGGCCACAGAACATTAATCAGCCACAGAACATTAATCAGCCCAACACCTGGCTGAAGAGGAATGTTTTCACCAGGTGCCTAAAGATATGTAATGAAGGCGCCAGGTGAGCCCCATCAGCACAGCTTCAACGCATCTTTTATCAGGTGCAAACAAAAGCGTTATTCATGCACACACACACACACACCAAATGTTGTTTTGAAATAGTTTGGGAACAACATATACTAGTGTGGGAATCTGCAAGGCTTCAGGTTACACCAAACTCTTCCTTTTGCCCAGCACAGAGTTCTGGGTACTTGCGCTGTTGTATCCCAAGAGAGCTGATGGGAGCTGTGGTCCCAAACATTTGGAAGCTGCCAGGATGGTGAAGGTTGCATTAAGCCATCTCACCCAATTTTGTTGGCTCTTGCTGCCTGCAGCTCTCTGGGGTCTCAGGGGAGAGTAGTTCCCAGCCCTGGCTGTTCATAACCTGGGAAATTCACTATGGACAACTGCTAAGTTACAGGCAAAACCAGCCTCCCCCCAGCGGGGTGCTGGCTGGCGCTGATGGGACCTGTCATCCCGAACATCTGGAAGGCACTCAGCTGGGGGAAGGCTGGACACAGGCTGTGCCTCGAAGCTGCCTTGGGAGGCAAACTTTTTTCTAAAATAGGGGTTGAAAAATCCATCACTCACCATCCTCGCCTCTTTCCTGTTTGAAGCAGGGTGCCCTTTTGACCTCCAACATCAGCTGCCGACTGGGAGAAAACGGATGCCAACCCTGCCAGCGATTACCGGTCCCCTTTGCCTCTGGTTCCCTGGATAATGATGCCACCTAGTGGAGCAGCCTTCTCTGCAACTCTTATTTGGAACGGGTGTTTTTCCATCTATCTCCTGTGCTTGTAATAGAGGCCACTTTTCTAAATCTGAAAACAGAGCCAATTTTCTGTTTTGGCATTGATGAGTTGTGTTTCAACAAAACTGTGTTATTGCTCATAGGAAACACAGGAGTCAAACTTATACAGAGTCAGACTATTGGGTTCATCTAGCTCAGCATTGTCTGCACTGACTGGCAGCAGCTCTCCAGGGTTTCAAGCAGGGGACATCACCAGTAGGGATTGAGCCTGGGAGCTTCTGCACACAAAGCAGTTGGTCCCTTACCTTTCCCGCCCCGACCTGGCCACAGTGATCCATGCGACAGTCATCTCCAGGCTTGACTACTGTAATTCGCTCTACGCGGGGCTGCCCTTGAAGCTGTCCCAGAAACTCCAGTGGGTGCAGAATGCTGCAGCGAGGCTCCTCACGGGGTCTCTGCCATGGGAGCATATTCACCCAGTGCTTTTCCAGCTGCACTGGCTCCCGGTGGAGTACAGGGTCAGATTTAAGGTGCTGCTTTTGACCTTTAAAGCCCTTCACGGCCTAGGACCCTCGTACCTACGGGACCGCCTCTCCTGGTATGCCCCACGGAGAGCCTCAAGGTCCATAAATAACAACACCCTAGTGGTCCCAGGACCTAAGGAAGTTAGATTGGCTTCAACCAGAGCCAGGGCCTTTTCAACTCTGGCTCCGGCCTGGTGGAACGCTCTGCCTCATGAGACCAGGGCCCTGCAGGATCTGATTTCTTTCCGCAGGGCCTGTAAGACAGAGTTGTTCCGCCTGGCCTTTGGCTTGGAGCCAATTTGATTCCCTCCCTCCCTCTCTTTCTTTTTTCTTTTCCTTCTCCTCCTGCAATGAGGCTACATTTTAATATTTTAATGTTCCATTATTTTAATGTTGTATTTTATTTTTGTTTTTAAGTTGTAATCATTCATCTTGTTTTTATTATTGCTTGTAAGCCGCTCTGAGCTCGGCCTTGGCTGGGGAGGGCGGGATATAAATAAATTATTATTATTATTATTATTATTATTATTATTATTAAAGCAGCTACTCTGAAACTGAGCTATGTCCCTAATGGGTAGGGCTAGGCAGGTCGGGTGGCCCACAAATGGTTACAGATGCTGCTTGTTTCTCTCCCTTTAAAAGGATTCAATCATTTTCTACACCAAATGACACTTTATCCCAAAGCAAATACATTTATTTATTTAAGGCATTTATGTACCAGAACGATTAGCATATCTAAGTGGTGAATTTAGTATTAGGGGAGGTTAAGTGAGTTTTTAAAATGCAAATCTGCATTTCAATCACAGTTAACGAAAGTGGCTTTTGTTTGGGTCCTGCCCCCCGCCCCCCATCACAGGAATACAGAAGCAGTTGGAAAGCAGGGGATAGAGGTGGGAGGAAAAAATGTTAATTGTCTTTAGATGGCTATGTGAAGCAGTTAAGTCTTTGGTCTAAATTTATCTAGCTCAGTGGTTTCTCTGGGCCACATTTTCAGAATAAAAACTTGCTCATGCCACACCTATTTTTTTTTATTGATAAGAACAACACTGGGAAACATAACTAGGATTGTCCTCAATATCACTTGAAGCTCTTGCTCTCATTTTGAAGAGCTAACTATCCATATTCTGCAAATTAAATATATATATATATATATTATACTATACTATACCATATTGCACTGAAATGTCTTCATGTTTCTTTGGTTGTCCCTGAATCTTTACACCACACTTGCCATCCTCTCCTGCCACACTGTTGTATTATGGTATTTTAATATTTTGTTGGAAGCCACCCAGAGTGGCTGGGGAAGCCTAGCCAGATGAGCGGGGTATAAATAAATTATTATTATTATTATTATTATTATTATTATTAACCACTGATCTAGCTCCATCACTGACTATAATTCCCATCAGCCCCAGCCAGCACAGCTGTAAAGCACCTGGAATGAAGACATTTGGTGAAGGCTGAACTAAGTAACACTCAAGAGGCAGACTGAACCCTTCATATTCAGAAGGAACCTTTTCACTCTCTGGGGTAAATGCTACCAATAAATAATTGTGGTCCAAAATGGCCATGCCAGCTGGGGTCAAGGGGAGTTGTCGTCAGAAGCATCTGGAGGGAACCAGGTTGACAAAGGCTGTCCCAAGCACTCATCTTTGAAACTCTATTAAGAATGAATTATGACCCACAAATTAAATACAATTCTATTTATTTATTTTCAAATCCCTTGAATATATAACTTTTAAAAAAGCCCACTAGACTTCCACTAGTTCAGCAATTACATAAACCAAATCTAAATGTTGCTGAATGGTGGAATATTTCTTAAAGCAGCAATAATGATATAACCCAGCAGCTGACAGCATTAATGCAAACTAGATATCATAATTAAACATTTGCCGGTCAATACTTGTATTTCCAGAGATCAGGCAGGGGCCCTTAGTTTTCAGTATTTTTGCAATAGCATTCCAAGCATTATTTTAAAAAATGCACTGATATAAATATCTTTTTTTAAAAAGCACACTGGAATTTTAAAAAACAACAGTTGAGGGTCTTTGGTATCTCTAATGTCAAGTCTATTGGAACTTATTTTCTGTTGTAGTTGCATCAAAGAAGGAAGTAACACGGACACATATGGAATCAGTAGAAATCAGAGACACAGAAAAACAAAGCAGAATAGGAGTGAAATTTTCCTTGGTGTGTAAAATTTCCACCCATCACTAATTGGGGAGTGTATGGTTGACTCTTCATCAGAGACTGCCTGTTGAAGGATTGCAGAGCATGCTTTTCTCCAATCTGGTGCACTCCAGATGCTTTGGACTATTGATCCCAGCATGCACTGACTAGGGCCGATGGGAACTGTAGACCAAAACATCTGGAGGGCATCAGGTTGAGGAAGGCTGGCACAGGGCCAGCATAAATATCCCCCTCTCCTCTCTGATAAATCCAGCCTTTGTGACTTTAAAAATACTTGCATCTAGTGACTCTACATGGGGGCCCACATTATTATGGAAGACCCCACTGTACAAGCAAATTCCCAGCACATTGTAAACAATCCCAGAGAGAACAGTTCTAGCTTAGGCTTCTCCCTGAGATGCAAGCATTCTACATGCCAGGATTAAAAGAAAACAAGAACTTGTGCAGAGAAGCATCCAGTCCTGTCTTTCTGAAGTGGTCCAGCCCGGATGCAGGTTGACTACCACCCCAGTGAGAATTAAAAGCCAGAATCAGGAATTTTGAGTTGATTATCATGGGCTTGCTTGCGGTTCAACACAAAAGCACTGTGAGCACCACTGTCTCTTTGGTACCATCGAGCCACCACTAGAAGACATTGGTGCCCATGTGGCCCTCAGGCCTTTAGTTATTTCTTGAAAAACTTCTTGTTGAGGAGGAAGATCAGGAGGTTGACGTTGATTCTGGCTTTGTCAAACATTTTCATGATGGCGACACCCTCATACTGGAGCTGGAGGAGGTCCTGAGAAAGAGCAAGTATGGAGAGAGGAAAGTCAGCCGCATTTAAGTGTGGTAGCGTCTGCCCTATGGAACTCCCTGCCTATTGATACAAGGCAGGCACCTTCACTGTACTCTTTGGCTTCTGCTAAAAAAAATGTTTGTTTCAACACGCCTACCCAGATGTTGCTGTGTGTTTTAGTCTGCTTTTTTGTTTATTTGCTGATTTCAGTCTTTAAAAATGTTTTAAATTGCCTTGAGATTTAGAAGGCGATTAATAAATTAATTATAATAGCAATAAAGCACACTACCTTGAGCTCCTTGGAAATAAACATAAGAATGGAACTACCCTCGTGGACCTAGAATTGCACACTGGCAATGCTATAATTTGAGCAAAAGGACAGCTCTGCCAGCTCCTTACCTGGTACTGGAGCTGAAACTTCTCCATGTCAACTCCCATAAATTTTGCCTTCACCTGGAACTTGCCAGCTTCACCGCAAGGGATTATTTCAAATATCACATTCCTGAGCCTGGGAAAAGAGGAAGGAGGGGAGGAAATGATGGCAATTTTAAAACCATAGGGGAGAAAGAGGGCAAGTGGAGGTCAGGATCCTGGGATAATTCTTGGTACCAAGTGACAGCATGGAATAGTGGCTAGTGGTTTGGCTTTCAGTGGTGAACAAACTGAACTCAGCCACCAAATGCACTTGGGACAGGTATTCCTGTCTCCACTGACAGGTAGTGGCTCTTGGGGGGGGATTCCAGAGAGGGATGCCAGGGATTGAACCTGTGAGACTCTGCACGCACAACACATGCTCCGCCACTGAGCTAAAGCCCTTCCTTATGGAACAGAAACTCTGATTTTGTGCAAGCTTGCCGGTTCGACCTTGGACGCCTCACACTAGCAGACCACGCAAATGAGTTGGCAGCCAATTTCAAGAACCAACACTCTGGGGAGAGGCTGGTTACAAAAGCCTGAGAGCACGGAGAGAGGAGCTGTAGCTTCCATTGGATGGAACTTGAGAGGGCAGGAAGCGCCTGGACTTACTGGCTGGCTGGCAGGTCTTCAATCTCCAGCAAAACACCTTTCTCAAAGAGGCGGGCTGCCGTGTAATGCAAGGTTGCCTGTTTCTTGCTGGGCCTGTAAAAGAAAGGGATATGAATGGTGTTTGTAGACAGGGCCTTTTTAACAACCCTAATGGTCCCTTCCGACTCTGCCCATCTACTTGCCCTCTTTACTGAACACAAGCTGAGCCAGAGAATGCCTCAACTGCTGGTGTAGCTCAGGGCTGGCTAGTCCTTTTAGGCCACATGGTCACCCACACCCTTGGCCAACCCCTGGGGGGAGGTTCATGCAGGCCACCCCCCCACCCTCACACACACTCTTTCTCACATATAAAGGTAAAAGGTAAAGGGACCCCTGACCATTAGGTCCAGTCGTGGCCAACTCTGGGGTTGCGGCGCTCATCTCACTTTACTGGCCGAGGGAGCCGGCATACAGCTTCTGGGTCATGTGGCCAGCATGACTAAGCCACTTCTGGCGAACCATAGCAGCGCATGAAAACGCCGTTTACCTTCCCGCCAGAGCGGTACCTATTTATCTACTTGCACTTTGACGTGCTTTCGAACTGCTAGGCTCACATATACAGGATTATAAAATTATAAAAACCATACGATAAAAGCAGCAGTAAAAATATACAAAGAAAACTCTTTGGCAAGGATATACAGTCGGACCTTGGATCTCAAACACCTTGGCTCCCGAACAAATCGGCTCCTGAACAATTGAAATATGGAAGCGAGTGTTCTTGTTTTTGAACGATTTTTGGAAGCCGAACGTCCGCCACGGCTTCCGATTGGCTGCAGGACACTCCTGCAGCCAATTGGAAGCCGCGCCTTGGTTTTTGAATGGTACCGGGGGTTGAATGGACTCCCAGAACACATTCTGTTAGAGAACCAAGGTATGACTGTATACAGCAGGGGGAGGGGGAAAGTAACTTCAGGCCCAAGTGCCACAATTGGCCCTCCAAACAGCTCTATCCAGCCCTAAGGATTCTCTCCAGCCACCCCACCCCCCACCAAACTCGCCCTGCTTTGAGCCCTCCCCTCAAGTGCTTTGGCCTGGCCAGAATGTATGAGTGTAGGTAGCATGAACAACTGAATTCAGATGGAAGTGAGATTTATTCATTTCATTTTATTGATTAAATTTATATTGTGCCCTTCATCAGAAGATCTCGGGGATTTTCACAGAATTAAAAAAAAATAGATGATAGAAAATGAAGGTGCCAAGAACGACAGAGTGGTAATTACCTAAAAGCAAAATCCTTAAGGAAGCCCCATTGCAGTAATCCAACATGGAGGTTACCAGGACATAGATACCCTTGGCCACACCACATTTTGCCAGGGACCTGATGCAAGCGGAGAACAAGCCCTGAGCTACAGCCCGCGCACACATACACAATTTCTGGCTCAGGTGCATCAGTTACAAGCCTGAGATTAATACCAGGCTTACTTGTTTCTAGCTGCCAGGTTGTCCAGACACGTCCGGATGTACTGGTTGTAGTAGTCGACCTGCTCCTCAAAAAACATCCTCTTGGTGCTGAGGCTGTGCAGAGTCTGGCGCAGCTTGGCCAGCTCCATCTTGCGCTGTTGTCGGTACTTCCTCTGGTTGCGGATGTCCTATGGGCGAGAAGGGCAGGGTATGTGCAAAGGAGATTTGGCCCAGCGTAAGCTGAGACCGTTGGAAGCACACAAAGCAATTATTTCTCCCTTCCTTGTTATGCTGCATTCATTTTCCTCCTAGTTCTGTTCCTTAATCTTCTTTGCTATCCTTACTGGGGTTATTGTTATTTTATAGCTGCCTTTAATGTAGTCAGCCCATTGGCCCTTCTAGCTCAGTGCTGTCTACACTGGCTGGCAGCAGCTCTCCAGGGTTTCAGGCAGGGAGTATTTCCAAGCAGTGTTAGAAACTGAGATATGAAATCTAGGCGCTAAATGGCACCTTAAGCCTAGGTTATGGGAGCTGCAATGGAGTTCCCGGGTGTGCTTTTTTAAGAACAAGAATGCAAAGCTGAAAATGATTGAACTGCAGCTGAAATCTTATGTTCACTTTTCACGTGGTCTATCTGAAGACTGCAAAAAACAAAGCCATGCTTCCCCTCCCTGTCCCCTAATATTCTTACAAGGGGCCCTTCTCGAGTCTTGAGAGAGTGGCTGGAAGTGGGGAGGCAGAAAAAGGTCCTCCTTTTCTTCCAGCAGTGGCAAGTTTTAATCTGAAATCTTAGGCTCACTACTGTGCCCAGAGCTCAGAAATAAAATGCTAATAAAATTCCGTCGCAAAACACGCCTAGAACAATGGGAATTTTGAACGCTGTTTCCAAGTCTCACTTGGAGATGCTGCCGGGAATTGAACCTGGGACTTTCAGCAAGAACAGTAGATGTTTGCCCACCAAGCCAAAGCCCTTCCCCCGAAGTGGACTGTCTTGCTTTGTTGGCTAGAAAGAGATCTTATGAGCACCCTCCAGATGGTTTGGACTACAACTCCCATCAGCCACAGCATTATATGGCTGTGCCGACAGGGACTTGCAGTTCCAAACAACTTGAGAGTACCAGGTAGGTGAAGGCAGATAGATAGCTATAGATCCATCCCAGCAATAAAAAATATTTTGCCCCTTGTGATGCATGGTACATCTTCTCCATTCGCTGCTCATTGTCTCGTTCTTCCCTTGAGATTTCTCAGGCACAGAGCCCTGCATACCTTGGCCATCTCATTGATGATGTCCTGGTACTGGTTGGCAGAGTCCACCATGCCCAGGCTCTCAAGACGCCGCAGATTCTTGAGGATGATCCGCTGCTTCTCTGCTATTGAGAGGTGGCTGTTACTGACCAGAGTGTGGTTGCATCTCAGCTTTTCTGGGGCTTGGGTGTTGCATAAGGCCCTTCTCTTCATAATGTGGTGGTGGAGGGCTTCCTGGAGAGAAAGAGAAGACTGGCTCATGCTTTTCTACTAAAGTGAAAATATTTCACAGTAAGTGGGAAGGGAGAGTGGTGCCTTGCCAATGTCCTGCATGATGGGTTTTATTAGCTTTAAAGCTGCATCGATGGCCAATCATTACATGCTGAATTTCACTTACTAAGAGTGAGAAATGGTCTCATGATCATTCAGATAGCCTGGTACAACAATTTTTTTTCTCCCCAACTGCATACACTCAAGATTTACTTGCAAATATTTATCCATCCAGAAATTGATTTTGTTTTTAACAACTTAAAAACCTTTCGGCTGTGCCTTCCATTTTCTGCAGTACACACAGGCACCTATGTTACAGAATGGACTTACCTGATCCTCTGATGCCTTCGTCTGCAGTATCTCCACAAGAGAATCGCCAGGTTGGAACTGGATCACATCAACCAGCATCTGCTTAGTGCTTTAAAAGACAAAAGAAGATAGTGATCCAGTTTTGGTATCTGCAGAGAAAGGACATTTTCACTTGCCCCACCTCCCCCGAGCATTTCCTAAACCAATAGTGGGGGAGGGGTAAGAGAGCTGGGGGGGGGATCACATCTGGCAACCAATGTGTCCCTTTGGTTTCAGACAGTACATGGGCAGCCGAGTCTAAAAAGCTCAGAAAACAAATTTTCATGGCCCTCTAGCGGCTTTTGTGGCTCATTTACCAGGTGTAATGTATTCAGCGTTAACTCTGGAAGTGTATACTTGATTCTGACCAAACTAAGCCTCCTGATGAAATATCTCGGCATTCCTTTCAGCTCTCCCACCCCCATACAATTACTGTGCTTTAATGCAGGATAGTTGCTTTATCATTCTAGCTGGAGATCTCTACGAAACCTCAGCAAACAGGTGGCGAGGGTCTGCTTTGCATGCCCAGGTTCAGTTGTTGGAATTTCCAGTTAAAACCACCATGGAAATAAGGGCTGAAAAATATTCCTTTGGCTGAGCCACTACTATCAGCGTTGACCAGCTTTCACCAATATCATACTCTCCAGGTGTTTTGAACTACAAGTTCTATCAGCCCCAGCCAACTTGGCCTACACACTGGACTACGGCTTTGCTAGGTGAAGTGAAGGGGAGTTGTGGTCCAAAACATCTAGACAACACTAGGTTGGGCAAAGCCTGATGTTCAGCAGTACTGAGCTTAATGGACCAATGAGCTGACTCAGTCTAAAGCATCTTACATTCACAGCAAAATAGGATTGACAGGCACCTGGGCAAGGACATCTCTTCTTTAGGCAAAATTTCACACTGGGTTGTTGGAACAAGAACCAGGATCTTAGGCATGGGATTTTGGCTCTCACCCTGCACAAATTTAGGCAGCTTCCTGGGAGCACCTAGATTATATATCTTGCCCAGGAAGTCAATTCACACGCAAACACCATTTTTTCTGTTTGGGCGGGTTTGCTTGTAATTTTCTGCCAGTTACAAAAATGATAGTGATGCACTCTGCCCTGTCTCTGACATTATTTAATATTCGAAAGGTTTCAGGTCTTTAAATGTGGGCGTGTCCATTGTTTACTCTGGTCACTTTCTTGGTGGTTGTTATTCATTGCAATTCTAACTATTCTTCCTGTATGAGCCCAGAGTGGTTATGCATCATCATCCTTTTCAAAAAGGCTTTTGCTATAATTGATACACCTAAAACTGTATCTTTAAGATATAGAAACAGCCACATGTTGCTGAGTCCTCAGATAGCATTTGTACCCCAAAAGCCAGGGTAGGCCTGTTACAATGCAGTCATCCACCCACCTCAACAACAAGCTTTCCGTATCCTTTCCCCCCTCAATATTGGCCTCCGCCACAGCAAATTTGTTGCCAAGGATGAGTGAAATTTCCGTCTTGGCGAGCTGAGTCAGAGTTTGCTCCGAAGTCCCATTGGCTCCATTTCCCACACTGTCGCCTGCAAATAATAATAAAACAAACATCAATAATATAAAATAAGAAAAATCAGAAGTACCATTAGCTATCTCAGCTTCAGATAAAACCTCAGCATCTCCAAAACAATTCATAGCAATATAATCTAACTCTTTCCTTCTCGTCCTTTTTTTGCTGCCAGTGCAAAAAAGAGCCACTTTGTTTCTACCAAGGCATTCCTGCTTCAGTATGTCAGCAAAGGTTTCAGAAATCTCTCTTGGATTCCCATATAAAGGACAGATCAACAGACAGTGAATAGCATATTCCACCTGATATTGGCCACAAATACTGCAAGAAAGAAATATTTTTACAAATGAAAAGTAAGTCTTTACTCATGTGTGCAAATGAATAGACAGGGGCCTCAATGGAAGGGTTGTGGGTAAGCCTGAAGAATTGAACTATACTTTATTCTTTTACTTCCCTACCCAGTCCTTATCAGTGATCTCTCCCCCTCCTATCACAGGGACTGTTCAAGATAGCACTTCTATTGCCAATACCCCCACATTCTTAGGAGTGTTAACCGGGTTATCATTCTGGCAACATGCATCTGATGAAGTGGGTCTATGATTCATGGAAGTTTATGCCACAATAAATGTGTTAGTCTTTAAGGTCCCACAAGTCACTCTCGTCGCTTTTCCTGCAAGAGAGACTAGCACAACTATCCCTCTGGAAAATGAAATTTGTCAAGTTGAAATTTGTGCTGTGCTTTACCCATTAGAGACTGGATGGTGGGCAACCCTCCAAGGTCTTCTAGAAGTTCGTGTAGAGGGTCTTGAGGATCAGGAGCCACGGAACGCTGGTGCTCCAGCAGCAACTATCAAATTACCAAAGGCAGAGAGGAAAAAAGGCCATAAATGCATTGCTTGTTTATTTATGTGCATAAATATCTTAGGCTGCTTTTCTGCCAAAAAGGCATTCAAAGAAACATACAAGGACACCAGAATAAAATAAATGCATCAGAATGCTGAAAGCACCAATTAACCAATATAAATATAAAATGCTACTGTATTTTAAAAACAGATGTAAAAATCCAGTTTAAAAAGGGAACAGGAGTTAGAACAAAAATGGAAGTGGGGAAGTGAAAGAAAAATTAATCAAGAAGAATAAGGTAGCCAACTGAACTCATTGCCACAAGAGGGTGCTATGACAGCGCATCAATGGCACAGTTAATTACTAATATCCCCAGAAAATGATAACTTAGTGTGAACAAGTAAACCTGAAGGTTCCCAGAGAGAAGACCACAGCCACATCATTCTTCCCCCAGTGCTGTTGCTACTGGGCTACCAGGCACTAAACCATGGTTTGGTTTAAGGTAATATCTGAACCCAGGATCGTGGTTTATGAGTGGCAAATCAAGAACAATAAAATTGTGGCTCATTCGGGTAGCACAGTAGCATCAGAACCAGGCAGGAGCACTGTTGCCGCGATCTTTACTCCATAAACCCACAGGTTTGAATGTTCCTTCTAAAGTTCCAGCCCTTCTCAACCTTGGGTCCCCAGATGTTTTTGGCCTACAACTCCCATCATCCCTGACCACTGGTCCTGTGAGCTAGGGATCATGGGAGTTGTAGGCCAAAAACATCTGGGGACCCAAGGTTGAGAACCACTGTTTGGCTTAGTGTTTTCTGTGAACCATTTGTTAATAACTTCATTGTGCATAGTTTGGATCAGTGGTTCCCAAAGTGAGTGGTACTACCCACACACATCCCACCCATAAACCATCTTGTGGAAGGCCTACAAAAAGACAAAGACACACACACACACACACACACACAGAGAGAGAGAGAGAGAGAGAGAGAGAGAGAGAGAGAGAGAGAGAGAGATGGCATAAAACAGACCTTTGGCCAGGTATATTATAGTGATTTAGAAATGATACACTCAAGTTTCTTGAGACGTATTCTGCCCCCCCCCCCCAGGTTCAATCAACTATGAGACTGTGTGCAGAACTAGGTATACACATGATGGAATATTGGGTAGCGGCTATCACTAGAAAGTACTGGTTGCATTGCCATTTCTGTTGCCAGCATTCAAGTCTGCTTTCTGACTTATTTAAGGACTCTTATAAATCCAGGTTCCAATTCTTACATAGCAAAATCAGATCTATTGGTATTGACTTGGAACTCTAGTATAATTCAAGTGAGCAATATATTTATTGTAATATTCAAATCAGATTAAGGGACATTGAAAAACAAAACATCGAGTCAGCTGTAAAAAGAATTTGCTTCCCTAAGTTTTATCGTTTAAATCCAACAGATAACAGGGCCACTTATATTTCAAAAATAATAATTCCAGTCCAACGCAGGGCCTTTATGTTCACCCGACTGAACATTTCCCCCTCAACTTTCGTCAAGGGCAGATATTGAAACATCCCCAGAAATGATAGACATTGCAGATGTGTTTTGAATGTGCCAGACACAGTAGAACATATCCTTTTCTACTGTCCATTGTGCAACCAGCTAAGCAAACACGTGCAATATCCCCTTTTTTGGGTAGTCTAGCATCACGGCACAATGAAAATATCAGATTCTATGTGTCTGACATTAACCCGGAAGTAACTGCAAGGGTGACTCTATCAATAGATAGAGTGATGAATGGCACTATTTAGCAGGAAGAAACTCCATAATAATCCTCGTTATTACCTATTTTTACATGGCTGTTTATTTGTATATCTTTTAAAAATTTTATATATGGATGTTTTATGATGGCCTATATTTGTAATACCTAATAAAGGTTTGGCAAAGTAAGTAAGTAAGTTTAATTTCACCCCCTCACCTTATGTGTGTTAATTAGTTCCCCAACTGTTATGTAGACCACTGGTTTTGTGATGGCCACCATCTCTGAATACTTGTCGACATTAAACCTCTCTTCTGGTTCAGGGACAGAACAGGCAGCACTGATGAATCTTCTAGAAGGTGCAGAATGAAAAACCAAATCAAACCATGAAGGGTGTCCCCCTCTCCACACACTCATGCTCAAATCAGGTCGTTTCCTTCAAGGCTAGGATATTTGGAGGCCTGACACTCTCCATGATGCCTTTAATTCAATGCAGTCATGCATAAAAGTCCATACATTTGATTCTTTAGTAGTCTGACATAACATATTAGTGGCTTAAGGTAAAGGTGGGAAGACTTGAGACTTGCAGGATCTACTCTTTTCTTTTTCTCTTTTTCTAATCAATCAACCAGCAAAACAAAAAAGCCGCGTAGCAGAGAAGCACAGGGATCAGTTGCAATGTAACTGACTGATACTCCCATTTTACAGATGGAAACATAAAGGCCAAGAGAGAAAAAATTAGTACAAAGCTAGCCAGTAAAGCTTCTGTATGTTCAGTTTTAACTTCCAAATATCTTAAGGAAATTGATTAATAAGAACATAGGAAGCTGCCTTAGACTGAGTCAGACCATTGGGTCCATCTAGCTGAGTATTTTCTGCACTGACTGGCAGCAGCTCTCCAAGGTTTCAGGCAGGAGTCTCTCTCAGGCCGACCATGGGGGCTGAACCTGGGACCCCACTCCACACACCTACAACTCTCTATCCTCCTTCCAGCCCAGCAAGAGTTCAAGTTCAAGAGCACATTCTAGTCAGGCAAAAGCACCCAAGGAGGGTGTGAAACAAGGCCTGTGAGAGCCCCAAGGGCCAAGCAGAGAGGTGCCCATTGTTTCCAGGCCTCATTCCACTCAGCAGTTCTTCAAACCAACCTGAATTTAAGGTGGGTTTCCTCTAGGTACTGGTTCACCACCCGCAAGTGGCTGTTTTCCCCTTCAAAGAGTTGGTTGGCAGCGGCGTGCTGCAAGACCTTCGCAATGGAGCCCAGGTTGCGCCTGTGGTCGGGGTGGAGTGCTACCCCAGCCGAGACGTCTACAATATCAAAGCCATCAGGGGCCACCACAGCCGGGTTCATGAAACGGTAGTAGAGCAGGTTCCCAACCACCTAGGAGAGAGGTTGGCCGACTGTGTTAAATATTTACAACTGAGCAGGGTCGCCTTCATTAGAGCCCAACATTTTAAAGCTTCCATCCCAAGCAGAATTGAGTAACTGATAATATTTCTTTAACATATTATACTATGGCGTGGGGAGACCATTTCTTTCTGCCAAAATGCCAGGATTACATCGGCACATCTTCTTTCTCTCAGCCTCTTTGTCAAGTCCCTGATTCCCGCCATTTCTCCTTGCCCTTCTCAATTTCCCTCTGGTTATTTTTAAAGGAATGATTAAAAACAGTACTCATAATGTAGTATTATAAATCTTAGACCCAAGTCCTGCCTTCGAGAAGCCGGGGGCCAGAAGAATACAAAATGGCTAGTGTGGCAGCCATCTTAAAGTCACTTCCTGGTGTGGCTGCAAGCGTTTGGCCCATGCTAAAGCACCCCAGAATCCCCAACTTGAACTCTTGTCCCGCTGATTAAGGCCATCCGTCCCTCAAGGCCATAAATACGCCCACCTTGTAGATCTCGTCTTCTGTAGAATTCGGAAACTTCTCTCGTAAGGACGTCTTCAAGACTTTGGCAATGTAGCGCATCCCATAACTAGAGGGGAGGGCAGAGGGAGAGCAAGGGGCCTGTTATAGTGAAAACTGTAGCTCATATTCCATTATACTGTCATTTTTATAGGGATACAAGACCCTGATTTATCTCCTCAGTACTTCTTCTGCACCTGGGGAGCTCAGATGAATTCTATGCTTTAAAGACAAATTCTAGCACTAGGTTTACAGAAAGCATAGGCATGGGATGTGGGGGGTTGTGAGGAGCAGAGAAGGGAGGAGAATCCCTGCAAGGTGAGGGGTGTAAGGCTGGTGGCTTGTATGACGCAGAAACTCAAGGAAGGGAAGCAGCGTAAGGCGGCTGGATTTCTAAGATGGGATGGAAAGCTGGGCGGCCATCTTGTTTTCCCCTGTGATGACCGAGCAAAGTGAATCATAAAAACACACACGAAACAACAATAAATTCATACGGAATTTGGTCCACAGAAGATGTAATGGCCGAGAGGAACTTGTCCGTCACCGCCAGGAGATTGCGGATGGAAATGTCCAACCTCCTCTGCACCTCAGGGTGACCCAGGGCTTGCTCAGGGCTGACATCGTACGGGAGATTGCTGTGGAAACACACAAATGCATTCCAGGCCTCATCCAAAACCAACCAACCAACAACAAGAAAGACATGAGTTGAAATGCCCCTTTTTTCAGGGTTGCACATTAGACCTGGGAGCTCAGATCCCGCACTAGGCCACAAAGCTCACCAGGGGACCTTGTAATTGTTGTAACCCACCCTCAATTCAACCACTTCCTTCCTCTGACCTCCCCCTCAGTCTGGGGAGGAGGAGAGAACCCCTCAACCCCTCCTTCCCGAAACATCATTTGACGTTTGCAGGAAGATTTTCTTTCTTTATTTAGAAAAGTTCATACACTTTTTAATCCAGGAGCTCTCTAAAGCGATGCAAACCATAAAATTATGGATAACAATGAAGTTAAAATCCACAAAACCTACTGAAAAGCAAATATACATAAAGGATAACACAGATAAGAATCCGTCAAACTACAAAAACAAACTATATGCCTAGGCAGGCTTCTGAAATAAAACAGTTTTCGGCCTGCGAAACGCCTATGTTTGAAGAAGTTTTAAGTTAGATCATGCCATATTAGGCTTCTGTCAATATCTACCTGTTTGTGAAGAGTCACGTAGCTCAATGTTTTCTTTTCTCATGAGGCCGAATTAAAGATACAAAAACACATACAGACATTCCTCCTGACCTTTTCTGCCCACTCTGAGACTCCATCTGGTTGATCCACCCTCTGTAGATTTCCACAGGGCTGGTACGGATGCTCAAGGTCTTGTTCTGCAGAACCTCTTGCACGGGGCCCTCCAAGATCTGGCGCAAGGCATTCTGCCCACGGGCATTGCGGTAGAAGCTCACCACCAGGCGGATAACCGTCGGATTCCCCGTGAGGATGTCACGGATTTGATCGACTTTCGACCTGCAAGAATGCAGCATGACAGGAGCCGTTGAGCTGCAATGCAACATAAGCACAGTATTCAAAGCACAAGCTTTTTCTGTGGTGGCTCCCTGCTTGTGGAATGCTCTCCCCAGGGAGTTTGGGCTGGCACCTTCATTATACACCTTTAAGCACCAGGAGAAAACGTTCCTCTTTGGCTGATTGACGTCCGATGCCCTTTTTACACCTGGAAAAAAAGGTCTACATTTGGAGCTAGCAAGAGAAACAAATTAGTCCCCCTGTCTATATTTCTGCATACTAGTGATCTGGGTGGGTTCCCAGGTTCCACCAGAGCAGTGACTCACTCGGAGACACACCAGGGAGCCTCCACAAAGGACAGGTCATTCTACTGCATATTCAGAGCAACAATAAACTAAATCAGGCCACTGCAAATGATGTGGCGATGCGGCAGAGTGACAAGCCACTCGGAAATAACCAGTTAGAAGACAAAACCAGCACCTCATACAGAGTCCTCTTCATCATCGCTAGTTAAAAAGGGATGAGGTGACAGGATAAGACCCTTCTCTGCCTGGGATGCCAGAGAGCCGCTGCCAGTGAGGGCAGGGAATACTGGGACTAGATGGATCTGTGGTCTGACTCAGTTCCTAGGAAAGGGAGGCTGACATCTTTACTAAGGCGAGAATGCTGTCAGCAACCAGGACAAGGAAGGCAGAAGCCTTAAGGGGAGAAGGGAGAAAACGTAGGACCAAGAAAAAGGATACTCACTCAATCTCCTCTTGCAAGGCGCTCCTGAAGAGCTGGAGCAGGAGGTAGGCCTCTCTGGCGTTGGAGGCGTAATTGTACAGGGTGAAGACCACAGACTCCATGAACTTTGTGGACTTGTTCTGCGGCATCTGCATGATCAGCCGGGCCAAATAAACCGGGTGGGTCTGGGAGGAGAGACATTTTCATATGCAAAAATCTGCTTCAGCCTTATTGCCTCTGACTGTGGAAGCTGATTGTGGCTAGTAGCCATAGAGTGCCTTTCCCTGCATAAATTTGCTCAGTCCTCTTTGAAAGACTTCTAGGCTGCTGGCCATTGGTGCCTCCTGCGGGAGGGAGTTCCATAGTTTAACTATGAAGAAGTGTTTGGTGTAATGTAACGGAGAAGGGTTTTTCTCTACCCCTCAGTTTGGCAGTAGGGACCAAAATGTTGTCCCGTGCAAGGCAAACTCGTCCAGAATAAGTGAGGGTGAGACTTTAAAGCTCAAAACGATGTCCAAGGAAAACCAACCCTGCTGGTTAGCGCTGCCGTCACCCCCTGCAGTCATTCAAATCCTGAGTCAGGAGCATGATGGCTCTTGTGTTCGTGAATTCCAAGGATGCCCAGAAACAAGCCTAACAGTTCACTCCTTGTGGTTGGAGCCCCAAGCCCACAAATTGCTCAGTAGCAGATAACCAAGCAATGAGGTACCTGATTCAGGGCCAAAGTTCCCTTTTAACAGGCTGCACAGTGAAATAAATGCAAATATTTTATTAAGGAGGCTGCAAAACAAAAACAAGAACCTTTTTATCACAAAAAGTGAAGAAAGGCTAACAGTGTAAAGACAGCTTTGGGGATTTGAGTACAGTACGATCGCATCTCACGCGGGGTTTCAGTTCCAAGGGTTCTGTATATATGCAAAAACATGAATATTCAGAGCCTTGGCACCACCCCCCTGTGAGCATCCCGGGGCTTCTGGAGCTGGTGTGCAAGCAAGGCAGAGTGTAAAAGCTCTCTTTGCCCCTGGTTGAACTTCCACAAGTTAAATGGGCATATGACGCGATCACCCTGTGCAGACCTAAAGCTAGCTTGCCTCACCTTATTAGTCACAGACCCCAATTGCTTTTGAGGTTGCTGGTTTTTTTATTATCACATGGTACATAAATTTTATGAAATAAAAAGAATAGACAGTACTAATTTTTGCCATGGGTATTGTGTAGGAAGACGCCAGCTAACCTGCAGTTGGTAGAAGAGGTGCTGATATGCCTCCAGGATCTTCCGCTTCTCCCTGCTGAGGGACTTCAGCCCTTGCTCTTTGCTCCGGCCCATCAGATCAGAGAGTTGCTCCTTGTTCTTCTTCGTCAGCTTCTTGCAGTGAGAGACCACCTCCTGCCAAGGGGAAGAGTTGACGACTGATAGACACACACAAAGCACTCCTCCCTTGTTTGCAGAGCACCGACAACAAACGAAATCGCCTCTTACTGAACTCAAGGCTACATCCCCCTGGACGGCAGAGAAATCAGGCTGCAAACAGGTTGGTCAGCAAGACCCTGGATTAAATGGCAACAGCTTCTTTGAGAAGCTAACATGGACTTTGCCAACCTGGTGCCCTCCAAAACACCTGGAGGGCACCAGATTGGCAAAGGCTACTCTAGAGAATGTCCCTGGAGGTCACAAAAGCCACCCCCCAACAGAAAAGCAAGGGGCAGAAGGGCTGAGCAAAGGAGGAAGCTCGGCATTGGAGGAGCCCAGGTGGCCCTTTAAGAGGTGGGTGGGTAGTGATGCTGCTTCTGGATGGGTGCCTAGCTTGGTTCCCATCCTTGGTGGCCACTTGCCACTTTAGCTCACCCTAAGGAAACTGTCCCACCACATAGATCTAGATGCCACCTGGAGCCCCAGTGAGGAGGGGGATAAATGGTGTGGCTGCATAAAAAAAAGGAAGGGGCAGCCACATTGGGGTGGGGCCCACTGGAGGCACCGTGCCAAGGGCCCCTGACGATTGGCACCAGCCCTGGATCTGCTGCTCCCTTCTGACCTGGAGGGTGATCCTGTTCTTGACCAGCAATCCAATCTTGATATCCATGAGGTTGAGGTCGCTCTCCAGCTGCTGATTGAAGCGGATTCCCCTCACCACAGTCTCCTGGAGATCCAGCAGCTCCAGTTCCTCCCAGTAGTCCCGCTGGCTGCGTTCTAGCAGGTGGGCAAAACGCCGGACGATGCTGAGAGGTGGCTTCCCACTGTGTACTAGCAGGAGAGAGAGAGAAAGAGGCTGGTCGGTTTCAGAGTAAGACCTCTTGTCCAAGTACATCACATGAAAGCAGGTTCCCCACATCCTTGGTAAGACACTTAGCTATGTACAAAAAGCCTAGAAGATGGTTAGAATAACGACAAAAATATTGAAATGTGAAGCTTCCTTAGATCCAGTACTGAAGCTGCTGAACTACACATATTGTTAATCTGCTGAGCCAAACCAACATCAACACCAAATCCTGGCCAATTGAATAATATTCACTGGATCTTAGTCAAGGCTCAGTATGGACTTCCAAGGTTGTTTAGGAGCCAGGGAGAGGTTTGCTTGAAAATAATCATAATCATAATAATAACAGTAATAAACAACAAGATTGATATACTATTTATAAGAAATCTCAAGCAGTTTACACAAAGCTATATGAAATAGTCATTGAAAAATAGCTATATAAATAGTAAGTTATGAAGGTAAATATTTTAAAGTATCAATAGATTTTAAAAACAAATGCCAAGAATAATATCACACGTCTGGGTAAGCAGAGAGTTTTGAAGCCATAGATAAAGACTCCACCCTTTGGAGCAGAATCCTGCCAATTTCGAATTTTAAAGTTATTACCTAAATGCAGACACACTGGCCAAGCCTGTGCTAAGTTAGGATTTGTTAAATTATGGTTTATTTGATCACCCAAAACAGGAGTGGGGAACAGAATCCAGCCAGCAGGCCTGATCCTGCACTTCACTACCTCCCCCATTTTGTCAAGCGGCTGAGTCCACCAATCTTCCAAAGGCCTGGTGTCACCATGAAGTCAGGGGACCCAACAAGCCCTGCTTTGTGATGGGGTCAGCTTTACTACGCAGTTCCCAGTGGGTTAACTCTGTAGTTCAACCAGTCTCAACGGAGCTTGTGTAAGCTGACAGGTTCTGACAGGAAGCCCCTGCAGAATCTTTTGAATAGCAAAGGAGCATTTTTCCTTTGGATTTCTTAAATTCAAGAAGAAGGTTCAAAGGAAGAATTCATTTGCATCAAAAAGTTGATGCTTTTTTAATTCAAAAATGGAATTAGGAGCAAACTTCTTCTGCTTTCCCATGCCTGACATGTACCATCCGGTATGGGACAGGTGGGCACAATTGGCCCCAAACAGCTTGATGGAGCTAACTAGGGCTTTGAGTCCAAAGTTCACCACCACCCCGGTCCAAACCCTGCTCAGCGGTTTTGCTATGGTTTGTTTGCTGCCAACAAACCATTACCTGAAGCCATGGTTTCTTGTTCTCTTACAAACCTTGGTTTGCTTTAACTATGGCTTGGTGTTACATGTGTACTCAGCACAGCCGTGGTTTTGTTTGGCTGCCCCACCTCAGATGTTCACCAAGCTACAAAGGCAGAAGGCAAGAGCAGCTGCTGAATAAGCCAAACCTTGGGGAAGGGGGAAAACCAAGCCATGGTATGTTTAATGGTCTGTTTGACAACTTGTGGCTAACTCATGGTTTGTTAAACAAACCTCGACTTAGTGTTACATGCCAATCAGGCCAGTTTGCAAACTCAGGTTGCATGAAACCTGTACTTACCCAACATCCTGTAATCTTCTCGTGCCTTGTTAGCTCGTACAAATGCCTGGATTTTGATTACTGCCTTGACCTGTCAAGGGATGTCAAAAGAGGGAAAGCAGTTGAAATGCAGGAACAGGGAAGGGGTACGAAAACACGCTGGTGGCAAACAGCAGTTGCAAAATCGCAGTGGGTATATTTGTTTTTTATTTAATGCATTTAGAGCCCAACTTTTCCCCAAGTGGGGATTCAAGGCAGCTTTCAGCATTTAAAAACATTATTATAAAATACTCATCTGGCACCTTCGTTATGCATCTGTGGCGCCAGGTGAAAACATTCTTCTTCAACCAGGCCTTTGGCTGATTAATATTCCACAGCCTTTTAAATGTGTTTGTGGGAGGAGGGATTATGGGTTTCGTTTTTGTTTTTAATTATGTACTTTGTGGTTTTATTCTGTATTTTTATGCTGTGAACCACCCTGAGATCTTTGGATGAAGGGCAGTATACAAAATTTTAGTAATAATAAAAACAACAACTACTATAATAACCACTACACCACCATTTACTGTCTTGGAGCACCTGGCTGACTATGGCTGTTAGAATTCCTGCTCCATGATTGCAGTCATGGGATTTTTGTCTATCACATGACGGTATAAGTTTTGACTCCACAGAGTGGAAAGTGACGGAGACAGGATGTTTGTGTCACTGTGTTCCATGAAGTGGGGCTATTGTCCTTTGTTCTTTTTCTTTGCTGTCTGATGCTAGAGAGAGAGGGAGCTATGTTGCAGTGCTCCGTGTTTGTTTAAATGTAAATAAAATATATTAGCCAAAATGCTGAGTTGCTGAGGTCTGTTACGCAATCTGCGAAGACTCTGCGGTTCCCTAAGTGTGCCAATGTCTGTTGGCATCGGTCGCTGTGACGTTCAGGCAAAAGAAAGCTTTTGAAGCTCCTGAACGATCGACCAGGAGGGAGGGAACATGCCAGTCAGGCGTGTATCTCTGCCAGGGTCCTACTCAAGTGTAGGACGAGCTCCTGGCAAAAATGGGTTTGGTATGACCCAGCAAGGCAATTTTACAGTGCTGTTGTGCACAGGTGTGTGTGTGGGGGGGGGGAACACAACCTACTCACATTCTTCCTGAAGTAGGCCAATCTCTGTCGATATCGCCTGCGTATTCGCCACATTCGTACCCAGGCTTGAATCTGAACACAGCAGCAGGAAGGGCACAGGTGTGACAAGACCATTTTTGGCTGACGAGTCAAAGAAAAAGAAAGGCAACACCCCCCCCCAAAAAAAAAGTATCTATCCCCTTAACCTGATTTATTTTGTTAACAAATAAACATGGACAGGCATGCAACTGATCTGGTGGTTTATCGTTTGTTTCATGGCCCATAAAATACTGGTGCTGGTGACAGCGAAAGGTAGGCTTTAAAGATAGGAATAAAATAAATACCTTGATGACAGCACCTGTGTTCTTCTGGAAATGCTGCAGCCTTTCCAGGTAACGCCTCCGTTGCTGGTACCCACGCCAGTAAGCCTGTGAGGAGACAGCATGGGAACTGGTTTGGGGCTGAAAAAGGCCCTGGATACAAATCTGGTCCCAACCACTGCATGATGGCCTTAAGTCAAATTTGCTGCTCTGGCCCACTTCTACCTCCTTTAAGAGGCAGCAGGCTCTGGGGGCTTCCCCCAGCCCAGGAACGCAAACCCAGGATCCAAACTGCCCCACCCCTGAGCTGCAGCTCTTCCCAGCTGTGATATTGGAGCATCTAACCTAAGGATCCCACTCTGCAAAGAGCAGGTTCCTCCGCCTCTGGGCTGGCAGCCTCCCCCGTAATACCCAGGATTTATGCACCTGTTAAGAACACTCAAAGGTGCCTCACGTAAATGTCGCAACAAGACACTGTACAACAGGGGTGGCGAACTTTTTCTGGTCTGAATGCCACCTGCACCCTGGTGGCTGCAGGTCATCTGCAGCTGTGGCCAACAGCAGGTGTGGTCACCCCACACTCTCCTCAGACCCACAGGACAGTCTCTCCCCCCCCCCCCCGTTGATCTGTGCAGATCCACTGGGGGGGGCGGTTCCAAGATGGTGACGGCTTAGCAAGCAGGCTTTGGAGCACCGCAAATTGAAGGACTGTAATTAGCGTCAATTGCTACCCAGGGAAGTAAATTTTCCTTTTTTTCACTTTTCTACTTTTAAACTTACCAACCTGCTGAGATTCTATCAGCACCTTCTTATCTATGCTATGAGAAACATCTTGGGCAAGTTCTGCGAAATATCCTGGGCAGGCCACCAGCCACTACCTATTAACCGCCAGCTCCCTTTTATACTTTGCTCCTGGAACTCCTGGCAGTCACCACACAGAGAAACAATTAAATCGAACAAACTGAGCACTGAGGAGAGGACATGATTGCCTCCCCCTCCCCAAGAAACAGATGAATGCCCACTTCCCCGGTCGTCAGACCAATCTTGCATCACTTTGCCCTCGTCTAATTTTCCTTTTGGCCCACCAAAACTAGTGGGGTATCGAGGCAGCAAATTTTGCTCAGAGATCCAGAGCAGGCCCCCAGACTGAAGGTCAGCCACCCTTGCGCCTGCCAGTTAATTCCCATGTTCCTGAGTCAGACTTCTTGTCCATAGAGCCCAGTAATTGGCTGTGCTGACTGACAAAGACTCTCCAATGCAGAGTAGGGCCTTCGCAACCCCTCCGACCTGAACCTTTAAATGATAACAATATTGATAAGCACTAGAAATCGAGCCCAGGGCATTCTGCATGCCAAGCAGGTGCTCTGCTCCTGTGCCATATCATTGCCCCCACAGCACAGGTGTGAGCTCAAGGCAGAGATGAGATTCAAAGGTGGGGTTTCTAATTATTTGCTACACCCACATCAGCTGCCCCATAACAGGGGAAGAACAACTTTAAGGTACGATGTATGCCTGCAGCAAGAAGTTCTTTGGTCAGGGAATGGAAGACATGATGGGGCTTCAACCTCCCATTGGGGTGCAAGAATATGTGGGCTCTGGCTACTGCAGAGAAAAGAATTTACAAATCATGCCTTTCTATGGGCAAGGAAAACCTGGAACATTTCTACGCCATTTGGTGGGATTTCATTTCTTCTGTGTCAAATTCAATACAAAACCTCTTTTCTCCCACCAAATTGTGAAATTTGGCTTTTGTTGTATTTTGCTTCTTTTATTTTTCTGCATTATTTGCTCCCTGGTTTTTTGGGAAAATGCAAACTTCTGTACTGCTCCTATGCCTTGTGCGTAGCTTTGATTATGCTTTTTTGTACTTTTGATTTTATATAAATTAAAACCTTTACTATTATTATCTGAAAAATATGCAACATAAAGCCATCAAAATTACAGATTTAAATATATATATATTTTGGGGGGGGAACACAATGAAAAGGACAATTCTTAAAAGTCTCGGCTCAGGGCAGCTGCATCCTCCTACCTGGACCTTGAGAGCGGCTGGCACCTGCTTGCACCACAAGCTCCGCCGGGTTGCAAATTCCTGCCGGGCCAGGAAGCCCCTCATCCGGGCCTGCAGCTTCACAACCAGCGAGGTGCTCGATTCCCACAGACGCTCCCGATCATGGGCAGCTGTGACCCGGGCAACAGTGGACTGTAGGCACAGAGAGATGCATGGGGTCAGAAGATCATCATAAGAGCTTGGTTGCTGGATCAGGCAAAAGGGGCCCCACCTGGTCGAGCCCTCTGCTCTGAATCAGATGCGCCCCAATGAGAAGCCTGCTCTCCCTACTTGCAATTCCCAGGAATTGGTATTCAGAGCTAGACTGCCCCTGGACATGGAGGTTCTACTATCCCTGTAGAGGCCAACTGGATTGGACCAAAGGCTCCTGAAGTTTATTTAGCATTACACACACACACACACACACTTAACCAAACATACAGCTTGCTAGTAGGTCAAATCAGAATAGTCATTAAGCAACTCCCTTCAGAAGGTTGCTATGGGGTTGGAGGGTGGGGCAAGGCAGCTGAAACCAACCACCTCCTGATGGCAAACCCAGACACCCCCAAAACAGCTCTCATCCCTCACAGTTGTCCTTCTGGCAGCAGCTCCCTTTTGAGTTGGAGGATGGGGCACGGCAGGTGGGAAAAGCTGCCCCACCCAAGTGGCCGATACAGAGCCTCTCACTCCTCCGTTCTGCTTCCTAGCTCACAGGTACAAAGAGAGAGACCTGGATTTCCTCCCGGCTGAGATGCTCCGCATTGAGGGCACAGGGGCGAGGCTGGTCCCAGGAGCCTTCAAAGGTCTGCAGGCTGAAGTAATACTCTGCCCCATCCTTCAGCTTGTGCCGGACCCAAGGTAGTTTGGAGTTACCTGCAGGTTACATTTTTAAAAAACGAAAAGAAAGTTAGAATTAAAGACCCCACAGAGACACTGTTGTAAGAAAGTGCAAGTTTTCAAATCCTTGAATTCAAGAGTTGATGACAACTCTTGGGAGTATTTGAGGGGAGTGACACACACATCTCACTTTACCTGGGGCTTTTTTAGAAGCCATGAGAGCACTCAGCTGGGCCTGGTAGGAGGCAGCACACTCCATTGCCACACCACAGATAGAGACGTCCGGATTGCGTAGGACCCTGACGGTCTGTGCCGCATTCCCTTCCTTGATGGCTTGATTGATGGCAGCGGTGCCAAGAGCCACTGTGGGACAGATGGCAAAGGGAAAAGATTTTGAAGCATTGGTCCAGGTTCACCCCACAGGGACTAGAAACCTGACTACTTCAATGTACTTATTTAAAACATTTCTCAAAAATCACCCTTCATAAAAAGATCCAGGGTAGTGTACGAGCAGGACCCAACTCTCCCCACCGGTGATTGCAAGAAACTGGTATTCTGAGGCGTACAGCAGAGGTAGGGAACATTTTTTGGTCCGAGCGCCAGATCCTTTTTCAGCAGAACAGGCCGTATATGAAACATGGGTGGGAGGTGCTAACCTGCCAATCACATGTTATCATCATGATATCACATGACTGACAGGTAAGCAAGGTTGCCCACCTGTCAAAATCATACCCACGGCTTTGCGAATCTTCCTGTTTAAACCAGTGTTTAAAAGAGGAGTGGGGAGACTTGCAAAAGCACCCACTGAAGCAGCCTCCACCTCCTCCTTCAAAGGGCACTTTTGCAAAGTCCTTTAAGCTGCCTTTGCTTGCAAAACACATCTCTTTTTCTCTCTTTCCCTTCACACTTGATCAAGTGGATGTGGTATGGGGAAGAACTTGTGGCAGACAGATTTAACCCACTGGCAGGCCAAGATTAGCCTGCAGACTGAAGGTTCCCCACCCCTGGGCATATGGCCTCTGACAAAGGAGGCTGAGTAAAGCCACCATAGCTGCTTGAATGTGTCTAATCGTCTTTCAAGGTGGCTGTCGTAACACCTTGTGGGAGCAAAATGTGAGTTTGCCCAGGCTTTCTTGTTCCTGAGCCTTCTCCCACCCCCTTTGCTCAGGCCTCCTCATGGCACCCTAAATGGTAGCAGACAGGACCACCCTTTAGGTCCTGCAGTTCCAATTGAGCCAGGAAGATCCAGACAGTGCACATACTTCTCTTTGCAGCTTCAGTGTCGTGGTTAGCTTTGGAGACGCCCTCCTGGATTTCTTCCCACCACAGCATAGCTCCGGTGTCCCCTGTCATCTAAGATAGGAAAGATAAAAATGATCACAGAATTGTCTCTCAGGGGGAAACACAGGTCAAATATGCACTTGACTCTGAAGTTCAATGGGTGTCTTTGAGTCACCCACTACTTTCTCTCAGCCTAGCCTACCTCACAGGACTGTTGCGAGAATAAAATAGGGGAGGGAAGAACACAAGCACACACACTTCAGGAGATGGGAAGCCAAGCTCGCTCCACCATGTCTGCTGCGACAGGCCAACCCCATCAGGCCTCCTCTCCCTTGACTGTTACCTGGGAGTAGCAGAGATGGAAAGCAGAGCTCACTCCATCACCTTTACCGAAAGCCCAGCCCAGCTGCATCAAACACCTCCTGCCCTGAACTATGCCAGCTGATCATTATAAGATCAACTCTTTAAGAACTGGTGCCTGAGTTTGATTTCCCCCCCTCTTCCCTCTCTGTCCATTTTCCCTTGTGTGTTGCTTTTTTTTAGATTGTAAGCCTGCAGGGGCAGGGACCGTCTACTTTCAATTGATTGTTAAGTAAGCCATTCTGGGAGCCTTCTTGGTTGAAGAGCAGGGTTGCAGCCGCTCTAAATAAATAATAATTCAGAGCTGCAAGTAGCAAGGCAAGCCTTAAGAGATGGAATTGCAAACATGCACAGCACCAGTCAAAACATACTGAAATACAACAAAAAACTACCTAACCCCCACCCCATGCCAGTTTATTTGATTATTTGATTGTTGTTAGCCGCCCTGAGCCCGGCTTCGGCTGGGGAGGGCGGGATATAAATAAAATTTATTATTATTATTATTATTATTATTATTATTATTATTATTATTCAGTCTAGTTTATGTGAATTCATAAACACACATTCTGAAGCCATAATAGTCTCCATCAGGCTTCTGGAAATGAACTTCTACAATGAAGTCTCACAGTTCTGTAAGAAGTTAGTGTGGTTGCCTACCCCACCGCCCTGGAACCTGAACTTCATTCTCCTCTTCCTTCCTCTCCTACCTGGACCTTCTGCTTCCGCATGCGGGTCAAAACATCATAGTAACGCTTAGCAACGGGGAGCGTCACATCGCAGAGGCCGGAAGAAGGAAGCAGCAGGGCTCTGAGGGTTTTCTCTGGGCTGCTCTGCTCCAGAGCCTCGTTGATCAGTCGGACAGCAAGGATTTCTGGGGACGAAAAGGAGATTTCAGGAGAACCGGGAAAACGTCTTGACCAAGCTCAGTTCAAAGATGGAGTATAGGCCTACATTTGACATATTAAGCGCTGATCTTTGGGCTTTCAATGTACTTTTCCAAGCCCTTTAAACCTGTCCCAGAGGACTTCCACCAGCACCACCTATGGAATCTCTGGCTCTCCAGATGTTGCTAGACTGCAACCTTTTGGCTGTGTCCGAGTTGAGAGAAAGCAGCCAGTGTACATAATTTGCAGGTGGTGGAAGTGGGGAAACTGGGGTTAAGCTGGGTGCTGTATGGAAAGCCTCTGAGGGCTGGGTTTAGGAACACAGGAAGCTGCCTTATGCTGAGGCAGACCATCAGTTGTCCATACTGGGCTCACCTGCATGCCACTCTAAACCATTGGAACTATGGTTCGAATGTGAACACACAACATGCTGGTGTACACCGCTGAAATCATGGGTGCTGTGCTCTAAGCCTGCTCCTGCTGAGAAACAAGCCATGGTTTGGCTTAGCAATACATCCGAAAGCAGGCTTGTGATTCGGAGAGAAACAAACCATGGGGCCAGGTTCAGATGCTGTCCTAAGTCAGACTATGGCTTCGCTTTCGCTAGCAGCAGAGCGGCCAGGTTTTCAGCAGCGTGTACTACTTTGCTGTGCATTCTCATTTAAACCATAGGTTAGCTTGGCTAAGTTTTAGTCTAACTACGGTTTAGAGTGTCATGCAAACCTGGCCACTGACTACAATGGCTTTCCATGGATTCAGGCAGGAGTCTTTTCCCAGCTAAACCTGAAGATACTGGGGATTGAACCTGGGACCTTCTGTATGCAAAGCAGATGCTCTACCACTGAGTTGCAGAACTTCCCTAAAGGGCCTCCAGTGCCTGTTTCACATTCACATCACTAAAATCAGAACTGAAAATGTTTTGAAAAGTGAAAGGTGTCTTACTATTATTTTCTTCTTGGGCAGAGGCATTCACATTATTCACTGAAGCCTGGATGTCGTTCCAGCTCAGGAAGTCATACTTTGTGTCCCGAGATCGGTGCTTCCATTGTGACAAGTCGTCAAAATAACTGAGAAATTAAAAACAAAAAAGCAAGACATCGTCTTTGCATCACCCCTTTTAGAAAAAAAAGCAGCTATTCCCCAGGTTTGTGCACATGGCAGGTAGTTTATAGCAAGCGATTCTTTGGAGGTGCAGAAAGGAATATTGGGCATATCACTTTCAAGCTGCCTTGTTGTTTTTAAGGACAAGTTTCTGGTTGTAAAATTACAACTTACAGAATTATAATGATGATATTTATTAATACCCCAAGTCTCATGGCGACTTACAGATAAAATAACAGCTAAATAACATGTACATTAAAGCCAGCATAAAACAGAGAAAAATCTATAACACATTCATATTTTTCAAAAGGCAGGATTAAAACACCCCACCCACTCAAGGAGGCCACAGATAATTACAAGCCAAAGGCTTGGGGGAAAATAAATGTTTCTGCCTGGTGGATAAAGTTAAGTAAGTAATGATGGCACCAGGTAAGCCTCCCTGGGGAGAACATTCCACAAATGGGGAGCCACCACTGAAAAGACCTGCTCTTGTTTTTCCACTCTCCTGACCTCCCATGGAGAGGGCACATGGAGAAGGGCCCCAGTTGATATTGCTTGAAAGCAGATGAATCAATTTAGATGAATCAGAGTCACCGATTTAAAATCACCAAGATGAAAAAGCCAATTGAAACCAGTGACTTAAATAAGAATTTCCACATTCTGAAATCCGGAAAACATATGACACAAGCATTCAGACTAATATAGCAACTAGACAAAGCAGCAACAAGATGCAGCAGCGGGCAGCCAAACAGAATGTTTCTAGACAAAATGTAGAAACTGAATGCAAACCCATATGCCTTCTGTTGCCTCTTACTGACCCGTTTCATATGCAGTACTAAGCCACACCATGGTTTAGCATGAACACACAAGTTTCCAGAGAGGAGACTGAAGCCGTTTTACTCCATTTCCTTCCTGCTGTGCTACCTGGGGCTAAGCCACAGTTTGGCTCAGCGTGTTGTCTGAACTGGGGCTTGTGGTTTGTTTCACTTCAGTCAAACCATGAGCTCAGTAAAGATGTGCTCTGAACTGGATAGTGGTTGATAGAACTATGCTTTATTAACCATGGCAGCTAAGAATAAAACTTCTATGCTCAGAGTACCTTTGAGTACCAGGGTCTTAGTGACAGATTGTGCTGGCTAAGATATTTAAAAGCCTGCAGATCTTCGGACCAGCCTGTGCCTCAAGATCTACAGAGCTACAATTTCCAGAGTGGTTTAACAGTCAATCCCTCTTCCCAGGGAATTATGGGAATTGAAGCTCTGTGAGGGGAACTCTCAGCACCCTTAACAGACTAAAGCTCCCAGAATTCTTTGGGGAAAGCCAAGGCTGTTTAAAGTGGTATCAGAGTGCTGAGCGTGACAGAGAAGAGATTTTGGGGGAAGTGGGTTTACCGCTGCGCATTGCTCTCCTCTATCTCTGACAGGCCCAAAGCAGGGCTGACCAAGCTCCTCCAGAAGCTGGAGGCGTCTCCGTCCTTCAGGGCCTGGTTGACCAGCGCCACTGCCGAAAGCATCTCCACAGCAACAAACAGCTCCTCTTGAACCAGCTCCCCCTGCAGAAAAAAAGGAGATTCACAAAGGATTAAATGCAATAGTTTTTTGTGGATTTTTTTTTTAATGCTGTGTGTTTCCTGAAATTGTTTGGTGGGGGGATCCCTCAGAAAAGGGAGCTGCCTGGGAAACTCAGGGCGTGATGGTCTCAGGGCTCCTGGGCTTTAGAAAGTTAAGGGGGGTCCACCAGGGAAATGAGCAAGCTGCTTTGATCTTGGGTGTACAATGAAATTAATCAAGCCTCCCCCCCAAAACACTCAATCCCTTATCGAACAACACACCACCTTGCAAGTCAATTTTGCTATGTTATTTTCCATTCAACAGCCTAACAGCCCACAAATAGAAGCTATTTTTTAGCCTGTTGGTACAGCCTGTAGGTTGCTAATCAGCCTGTAGCTGATTATACTTCTATATCTCCTGCCTGAGGGTAGAAGATTAAAGATGTGATGGCCGGGGTGTGAGTCATCCCTGAGAAATTTTCTCGCTCTCCTAAGGCAACGATCCCTTGTGATATCATCTAGCGGATTCAAGGGACAGCCCATGATATCATGTGCTGTATTCACCACCCTCTGTAGAGACTTTCTGTCCATGGTTGTCAGGCCAGCATACCATACTGTGATACAATATGAAAGGACACTTTCTATTGTGGACTACCAGCACTGCAAGGCTGTTGTGCAAGGAAAGGCCCCTGGTGTTTTACTCACCTGTGGGTGCTGCCGCTGTAGGGCAGACAACTCTCGCTGATAGAGCCCCGCGGCAAAGAGGAAGACATCCGGCAGCTGAGCCTCGGGGTCTGCCAGGGAGCGCACCGTCTCCTCCGCTACCCCTTTCCGAATGGAGGCGTTGATACGGCTCACGGCCTGTGTCACTGTGCATTAAGAGGGTGAGATAAGAACATAAGAACGCCAGGACTATTAAAACGGAAAGGAGTCAAACCATTGCAAGAGGTGTTGAAATTTTGGGAGGTTAGATAGTTGCAATGGAATTATTACTTTGTCACAATTTTAAAAACACAACTTAAATTGGGTTACAACCATATGAGTCTTGAAATGATCCTCACTGAAATCTAAACATTGAAAATATATGGAGCAAATTTCTCCCCCCTCTTCATAGTCTTCCAGTGGAACTTTGCATCTTCTCTAACTGCAATTTCTAACATAGTTTTCTGCCTCTAACCTGGCACAGGTAAAGTAAAGGCTTTGCAGGTCCTCTGTTAATGTACCCCCTGCGACCAAAAATGCCTTGTGAAGAGACAGTTTCAAGCAGTTGTCAAAGAACTGCAATGACAGCAGAGAGATTATTCAAGCTGCACAGCCAATAATTCTGTCCACTTCCTGCCATAATGAGTACAGTACTGGTCAGCTACTGGGGGAATGCTGCAACTCTCTAGCACGCAGTGTTCATGGTTACTTGTATTCTGGCAAATCTTTGCCGTACCCAATAAACTTTTAAATAATAATAATTTAAAAAAAGAACACCAGGAGAACCTACTGGATCAGGCCAAGGGCCCATCCTGCTCAGTACGTGACTCACAAAGGTGAGTTCAGATCTCTGGTAATGCACCTCAACCTGGTGCTTGACGACAAAATCTGCTCCTAGGTGGGTAGCAAAACCAGGGGGGCTGATGAGCGCACAGCACCCCACAGCTAGGCTGCCACACATGGCATATTGGGTTCTTGAGCCATCCACCAATCACAGCTCAGCGACAGAGTATCCCCTACCACGCATAACAACCCCACAGGCCTAAGGTTCATCACCACCCCATCCCTAAACAAATGAATACACTAATAATTATTCTGCATGTTACAAATAAAGTATAGGCCAGACAGCAAGTTCTCCCAGGAATGAATGGTTTCTGGCAATTTCCCAAGTGACAGATATCAATCATTTGAGGCACAACACACAGAAGAATTCTGAATATGCCTAAACCCCCAGGGCCCACTCACAAGCCCTCAGTCCTAAGGGCAGATCTTCACTCACCAGCACGTTCTTGATCTCCTCTCTCGTTGGCCACGTAAAGCCCAGCTTGGATTTCCTCTTGCTCAAGCAAGTCCGCGTAGCCCAGCTCCTGAGAAAATGGGCAAAAGGATGGCTTAAATGCAAGCTAATACGGAGCGTGATTGGCTGGAAAATCTCACTGCAACTGGACAGCTTAAGGCATTGCACGGAAGCCCAACGGTAGCCTGGCCTCTGCAACGGAGCCAGAATTGTAACAAGAAAGGGCTCTTCCAACAGCCTTCGCCGACCTGGTGCCCTCCAGAGGTTTCCCACTACAACTCCCATCAGCCCCAGCTAGCCCAAAACCTCTGGAGAGCACCAGCTTGGCAAAGGCTATCTTAGCACAACATTTGAGCTAAAGTCCCCAGTTGTTTGTACTCCAGAAAGGGCTTCTTCCTCGAACGTGGAGAAGGAGCCTGCAAACATCTTTAGAGATGTGTCCAGAACAAGAATGCTTCTGTCCTTGGGAACTGTCAATCAACTTCTTTATACATAGTCAGAGGCCTTTACAATATATCAGATACAGAATTTCCAAAGCATCACATGAATTAAAGGAGAAACTTGTTATGGAAGGTCACAGGACCACTGTTAATAATCACGTATACCAGGGATAACAAAACAATGAATTAGAATCGATAGTACTTTATATATCCTGCCGTGGGAATTGTGACCAATCAGCTGGGGGGGGGGCAATAGTTCTGATTCACAAGTGCTCTTCTTCTCCTCCTCCTTCCCACCAAGCCAAATGAGCCTTACCAGAGCCTTCTGCTCCCGGTCAGTGCTCAGCTGATCCAAGTACCAGTCCACATTCTCTCGCTGCAGGTTCCTCAAAGCCAGGGCAGGATCCTGCAAAGCGCAGTACAACCCCTGGGGATCCTGTTCCTCAAGGGCATCGTCCACCAGCTCCAGAGCACCTTTCACTATATGTTTTCAGAAAATAAAAAGTAATTGTGAAGAGTGCTTATGTATCTAAAAGCAAATCGCTTCTCCCTCTTCTCAGGGCCATAGCGCAGTGGTACAGCACCGATGCTTAATCCCCGGGGGGGGGGGGACGGGACCGGGGACCTTCTGTTTGTAGGGTCTTTGCAGTGCTAAAAAAAAAAGACCCCTACAAGTGGCTGCCTCTCAGAATACAGGCAGCGGGTTACATTCCAGGTCATCGCGCACTGAAGGCCATTTCCCCCTCATCCAGTGATGAACATGGCTCGTGTGCGCGGTCATGCGGCATCAGCTGCATGCAAATTGAGGGCTGCCTGTACAGGCCTTTGAGTACAATAAAACTTCACCTGTCATTACAGAGATATGGGTCCAAAATTGGGACATGGCAGAAGCTGGCAGAGAAAGTGGATAGAGAAAAAGGTTTTCTCCCTCTGTCATAACACTGGAACTCATGCACATCCAACAAAGCTGAACGCTGGAAGATTCAGGACAGACAGAGTTTTTCTTTTCTCCCCACGGTGCACAGTTAATCTATGGAACTCGCTCCTTCAGGAGGCAGCGATGGTCACCAGCTTGGACGGCTTTAAAAGTGGATTAGTCAAATTCACGGAGAAGAAGGGTATCAATGGCGACTAGCCACAATGGCTCGGCCTCCACTATTTGGGCTCTCAAGAATAGTTGGGGGAGGATGGGGAACCTGCGACTGTCCCAAGGTCAAGGCTGGTGGGGAATTGTGGTCCAAAAACACCCCAAAGGTCACAGGTGAGCCAATGCTGCTTTAGGGCAAATCATGCTTAAGCGCCATATCTAGACTGAACGGCTGAACTCCAAAGAGGTCGCCCTGAGTAGGGCAGAGAGGCCGTCGTTCTGCTTACCATTTGCGTTGTTGATGCTGCTTTGTATCTCAGCCTGGGTCAGGCACTGATCATAAATATCTTCACCATGAGGGATTTCTTGTAGAGGCTGAGTGTGCGGAAGAAAAAGACAACACTTTTGGTTTCAATCTGTTGCCCTCCAGACTGTGCTGGCTGGGGCTGATGGGAGTTGTAGTCCCAAACATCTGGAGAGCCCTAGATTGGCAAAATCTGTTTTAAGAGCATCTCTTCTAGCCAAGCATTCTGTGGGGCTCTAAATTGTGGACGTTGATTGAAATATATATATTTGCTTTCGTAGATTTTCACGGGTACAGGAATGCAGGTTTTGGTGTCCTCGGGTGTCTTCCCGTGTAAAAGTTGGGGTGTCTAGGCGACGTTTCGACGAGGTCTCACTCGTCATCTTCAGGCTGGTGCTTTCGGCTTCTTGTTACTGGAACAGAGCAGGATCTCAGTGTTTGAGTTCCTATAAATACTGTTGAGGGGGTGTGGTGTATAGCCTCCAATGTTCTGGGCAGAGAGGAAGTTCCCAGGCTAGTGTGCCTTTTCTTCTTTTGTTCCTTAATTACTTGAGAATATATATATTATATATATATATATAATATAGTGATATTTTTATGATATTGTAAACAGCTCAGAGATTTCTTTTAAATTATGGAGCGGTAGACAAATGACCTAAATAAAACCACCACCACCACTTTCACCACTACATTTATCCGAAATGCATCAGTGTGACCACCTCCACCTCAGACAATCTTTCCTTACCTGGTTCTTCCCATTCTTGGCTTTCTCTGCCTTGGCCAGGTAGAGAACTTCCTGGTAGATGGCCCCGAAGCCCTCCCGAAGGCTGGAGAGCATGGCATTGGGGTTGTGCAAGGCCAGGACGGTCTCCTCCACAACCCCCTTTTCCACTGCTTTGTTGATGGCCAGGACTGCGGCGTGGACTAGGGGGTGGGAATAAGAAAGGCAAAGTCCAGTGTTAGGCAGCAAAGACACAAACGCCAAACGCCCTCCACCCCACAGTGACATAGCACAGTTTCCATCTTGGAACCTGCTTTAAAAACAACGAAGAACAAAGAAACAAAGTACAACGGCTGTGTGGAGTTCATTATTGCAGTTGGAATAGAACAATCAGGAGGTCCGGTGCACTTTTGCAGACACCCCCACAGGATGGGGGAAGCCATGTACCTTAAATGTGTGGTGTAGATGTGGCCTAATATGGTGGCCACATAAGGGAGCCAGCAGTAAATCACACCAAGCAAGCAAAACAGGATTTGCACAGGAGTGTCAGGCCTAATGAGCACAGCAACTCAGGTCTTGCTCCCATGAAGCAGTTGCCGAGGCTAAAACTCCGCATCTCCCCACAGCTGGCTAATTCTCCTCTCCAGGGTGTTTCCCAACCAATCAGGAGACTTTGTCTGCATTCTTGCCTTTGCTCCTCCCACCTCATACCTCTCCTGGTTCTGGGAGATCAGGGGGAGGGGAGCTTGTTGCAGCAGGAGGGGGAGACACCTGTGCCTCTTCACCAGCCTGACCCACCTCTGCATCTTGGCCTCTCCAGTCTCCACTTCTGCCTCCAATTCTGGACTCCTCTCTGCCACAGCCTCTTCCTGCTCACTAAACCCCGTCATCTCTTCAGCTTCCGACACCTCCTTCCAGTCTTCTCTCTCTCATCGCCGTCCCATCACCAATCCCCGGGCTCTGAGCCGCCTTCTTTTGGGGGTTTCCCCAGCTGGTTCCTCCCACCATTCCTCTGCTATTCCTCTGGGCCACCTGTTCTTTTCTTGATTTCTCCCCTGCTGGTTCAGAGGAACAATTTGTTCCTTGCATTTTCTGGCACTGAGCAACGGGAACTCAGCTGGATCAGACCAAAGGTTCACCTTGCCCAGTATCCCGTTTCCAACAGCGCTTGGCTGCTTGCCTCTGAGAAGCCTGCAAGCAGGGCATGAAGGCAGGAGCTCTTCCTGGCACTTGGTCCAGAGAGATATACTGCCCCTGAACATGGCCATTCCATTGGGTTCTCACAAATGGCCTCTCCTCCTCCACAAATGTTATCTACCTGCAGCCTCGTCCACCGAGAGCTCATTAGCAAGGATCCCACCAATCTTGCTGAAGGATGGAAGCTGCAGACCATATTTCTCCAGCTCACGTTTCATGTGGTTTATTTCCTCCTCTAGGACAGGGAAAGAGAAAAGGTTCAATACGTCACACTCAATTAGCAGCAGCCACAAAGAGCACAATGCTTGGGCTGGGATTTCCAGGTGAACAGAGAACAAACACAGGGTCAGCGGCTGCCTTCCATCTGCTCCAAAACACACAAACTAAGTGTCAACAAGGGAAACACCCAACTCTCCTCCTTACCTGTGAATTTGACTTTCCCATACAAATCCTGGATCTGGGGAGCCAGCCCAAGTTTAAAGAGGTATAAACTAGGAAGGAAGACACACAAAAAATCTGGATTTGCTTGTGCACACACAAAGGACCCAAGAGACTCCAAAACATGCTCACAGCAAAAAAAGAACCATCTTCCACTACTCTTGAGGAGCCACAAAAGACATGGTGTGGGAGGGAGAATAGTCAGAATTCCAGCCCCCGTACAAAGGTTGTCCCTCCTTACCTCAAAGCATGAATACAATACACCACACGAGGCATGTTCTTTTTGTCATAGATGTCTGTTGTTTCAGGGTGAAAGATCTGTTGGAAAACAGAAGTGGAATTTCAAAGGATTAACTTCAGAACACCCATCAGGGAAATGCCTTTTTTATTAGGGCAACCAAATTATCAGCAAAGATACCGTGGAAGCTTGATGAAGAGCTCTGGAGGATTCAAGAGGCTGCACTTTATTTTTGCTAATATTTAGGTTGGTGTAAATTTAAAAAACACTGCTCTAGTATAGATTTTGGAATTATTCCATAGGGCCCAACCCAACTACCTTTACTATTCACAGGAGTAATATGGGGGTGAGGAACTGGTTCCAGCCAGCAAACCAAATCCTTATCTCTGCCAACCTCCCATGAGTCAAGTTTGACAGATGGGCTGGCTGCATCTTGACCTGCCCAACACCTGATGTCATATATGTACAACAGGTATAGCGCAGGTGGGCGTGGCTTGGCCAAAACTGCCCACCTCTTGGGCCAAATGCGGAGACTAATCAGAATGTAAGAATTGGCTGAATTGGGTCAATGACCCATCTAGTCCAGCATCCTATTCTCAAAGTGGCCAACCAGATGCCCCAATGGGACACCCATGCACAAGAGCCCTCTCCCCTACAGTGGTTTCCTGCAACTGGTATTTGGAAGCATTTACAGCATCCGACTCTGGATGTATGATTTTATAACATCATACATGCATAAAGTAGAATATTCCACGCTGACACCAAAAATAAATTGTGGAGGCAGAGCATAGCCATCCTGGCTAGTAACCACTGGTAGCTTTTTCTCCATGTATTTGTCTAATCCTCTTTTAAAGCCATCTAAGTTGATGGCCATCACTGTCGCGCAACGGTAAAGTACTGTATTTTTCGCCCTATAGGACGCACTTTTCCCCTCCAAAAATGAAGGGGAAATGTGTGTGCGTCCTATGGGACGAATGCAGGCTTCAGGAAGCTATCCGCAAGCCTGGGGAGCCCGGCGGGAGTTGCCGCTGGGCTCCCAAGGCTTGCGGATAGCAGCCTCCAAACCCGACCTGGTTTGGAGGCTGGCGGTGGGGAAAGCAGCACTTCTCCCCACCGCCAGCCCCACAAGGTCGGGGGACACTGGGGAGGCGGAGCGCCGCCTTCCCGCTGTTCCCCGACCTGGTTTGGAGGCTGGCGGTGGGGGAAAGCAGCGCTTCTCCCCACCACCAGCTCCACAAGCTTGGGGGACAGCGGGGAGGCGGAGCGTCACCTTCCCGCTGTTCTCCGACCGAAGCCTGGGGCGCGCTGCTGTCTTCAGGCAGATATCTGCAAGCCTGGGGAACCCAGCGGGAGTTCCCGCCGGGCTCCCAAGGCTTGCGGATAGCAGCCTGTTCTGGGGGCTGGGGAAGCTCGGGCTTCCCCTGCCCCAGCCCCGCGCCTGGGGAAAAAAAATTTCCCCCCCTTTATTTCCCCCCAAAAAAACTAGGTGCGCCCTATGGGCCAATGCGCCCTATGGGGCGAAAAATACGGTAATCGACGCAAAGTCTTCTTTATAAACAGGATGAAGCTTTACTGAAGAAAATAAACTTGTTCAGAAATAGCATAGTTAAAGAGCATACACAGAGGCACAGTCTTAGTGATTTACTAGAGTCCTGGAGCCACTCTGTTTGCCTTAGCTTTTCATAGCAACAACAACAGCACTATTCCACAGACTACTCCATACACAGCCCATACAGCTCTCTGACTGAGGCCCATGGAGACTGGCTACATTTATAGGGAAAATGAGTCATCACCCGAGTCACAGTGACTTAGCAGTTTGCTGTTAGCAGGCTTAGGCTTGAGTGACTGTGTAGGCCTTGTAGGCTTTACTGCTTCTTTTGCTCTCAAGAACCTTTGTCTCATGACAATCACTGCCTCCTGTGGGAGCGAGTTTCATAGAAGGAGGAGTGTCTTTTACCTGCCTTGAATCTTCCAACATTCAGAGTCATTGGATGCCCATGAGTCCTAGTGTTACACGACAGAGGGACAAAACTTATTTCTATCCATGGCATGCGTAATTTTATAAACTTCTGCCATGTTGGGCTTGTGAGCTGGAGCTTCCCAGCTGCTGCATTAACGCAATATTTTTAGGTACCAAGAGACTAGAAGGTGAATCCATTACCGTGGGCAATCCTATGTGGCTCATGGCATCCCGCCAGCGGTTGATGTTGTCCGTGTGTCGGAAGTGCAGCCCGCAGGCCTAGAATGAAGGAAAGAAGCAGCACTTCATTCGGGGCAGCCTGAGAACCAAAACCCAGGGCCATCTCTCTGCACTTTACTGTGTGCAGTGTTAGAAACTCAGTTATATAATGTAATTGCCAAATGGCGCCTTAAACCTAGGCTGTGGTTGCCACAATGGAATACCTAAGCACCATTCCCCTCCCCCCGACTTGTTATTATTAATATTATTTATTATTATTTCAATTTCTATACCACTTTATATTTTAAAGAACAAATCTCAAAGCTGTTTACAACACGTTAAATCATCAAATAAAACAATCCAAAATAAAACTAATTCAAGCTTCAAGGAAAATGGTCCAGATCTTTCTGTAAGTGGCATTTTGCTTTCCCCAGTTGCCAGCCTGGCATCCAGAGATCTCCACATGGTCGCAATTGGACCTGTTCAAGTCATGAAACATGCCTGGCACCTGACTAATTTTGACCACTGACTCTGTGGTATCTGATAGGACTGAAGACAGGATATTTACTGTGAGTTTGCTATTACTTGCTGTGTGTTGCTCTGCCTCCTGAAATTTTGCCCGCTATAAGGAAAAGTGAACTGCAGCAGAACCACCAATCTCTATTAATGTATCTTACATGGAATGAGAGGTAAATAGCTACTTCCATGCCAACTTCTTCCCTTATTATTTTGATTACTGCAGCTTTTCAATGTTCGATTTTGATGCCTCTCCTTTGAAAGTATTTCAGATTTTATGCCTCTGAAATAGATCAGATTTGTATGTTTGCGGACCCACCTCGTTTGCTGAATTTTTATTCTGTTCCATTAATAATGGTTGTGTGTCTTTCGTAGATGTAACTTTTAAAATAATTTTCTATCACTGTATCATGCCCTGAGACCTTATGATGAAGGGTTGGACAAAAAAAGCTTATAAAATAGAAATAAATAAAAAGAGGGTCCACATTTTCGCTCTCTGGGGCAAGGGGCACACTACCCTCCAGTAATAAGTATGACTGAGCCCAGCTTCATAACCAAGGCAGCTGGAAAGCTTTGGACTGGGGGGGGGGCAACAATAACCCAACAAGCCCCCTACCCTTTCCATCTCCAACCTCGAAGCTGAGTGGTGGAGGATAGAGAGGAGAAAGCAAGAGACTGGTGTGCTGCAGAGGTGCAGCAGGAGGAACTAAAGATACTGGCAACTACATGACCCATCAGAGCCAGTGAAAAAACTGTAGACTCCTGATCAAAATCAAAGCTAAAGCTGCCTGACGCAGAGTCCCACCATTACTCAATCTAGCCCAGTCTTTGGTGCCCTGCAGATGTTTTGGACTACAGTTCCCACCAGCCCCAGAGAGGCAAAATGCAAAGGGAAGACACTCACCTTGAAACGGGCCTGGTCAAGGTCATAAATCTTCCTCAAGGGACACACGTCAGGTGCAAAGAAATGACCCAGCTTGGCCAGAGTGACCCCATTCCGCAAACTCTCCTCCAGTTCGGTTGGTGAGGCCAGGTCCTCCTTCAAGCAGCCCTCCATCCAGCTGAAATATGCAGAGAGCAATGGAAAGGATGCCTTTTGTTTCCCCAGCACGCATGCCCAGAGGTGGCCTGATTTATTCAATGGCTGTCCCCTTGTGCCTTCAAAAGCTGTTTCGGGATCCTTCCAGACCCCACCCCATGCCCCCCAAGCAATAGTGGCAGAAGAACATAAGGAAAGCTCTTCTGGATTAGACCAATGCAGGCCCATCCAGTCTAGTGTGCCTTGTCCTACAGGGTACGGCAGTGTAATAGTTACGAGACCTCAGACCTGGGTTCAAATCCCCACTTGACCACAAAGCTCCCTCAGTGACCTGATCTAGGTCCTCTTAGACCCTCACCCGACCACAAGCACCCTCACCGCTTGGCTTCTTCTAGATGACAGAGATATTGGTAGGCGATGTTCTGGTGCCTCTTCTCATCCATTTCATCCGCTGTAAGGCGCTCATCTGGGGAAAGCAAGCAAAACTGCTATTTGCACACTCAGTTCAAACTGAGGTTTTCAGAGATCTGACTGGCATTGATTGGTGACGTAGGATCAATCTCATAGCAGCCTCTGGTTGCTACTTTGCCCCTGGAATCAATTCAAGGAGCTAGTCCTGGCCATTTAAAGCTCTAAAGGGCCTAGAATATCTCTCTCTATATATGAATGAGATTCTTACAACATTTCATAACACCATACATGCATAAAGTAGAATACTCCACGCTGACACCAGTAAATGTTTGTATAGGAGGCGATAAACAGTGTATTCTGCTAACCACAAAGTTGTATACTGTGAAGGGAGTCCTCTGTTTTCATTTTTAGCCATGTGCATAACGGAGCTGCACCAATCAGTTGTAAAACAGTTTTTTATGCTTCAAACCTTATGCCAATTTTATTTTAATAGTTTCAACAAGTGCTATTGGCCAGATTTTATTGTACCTATTTTTTTCAAAGAAGCACCCTCCAGGCTTTTCCAGCACTGTACCTTGTTATTACCAGCCAGACTGCTAGTAAAAGATAACTTACCAGGGATTAATATTATCTCCCATGAAAAGATTTGAGCCTAACCAGCTCTGGACATTTAGAGTTGTTTAGAGAATGTCTCAAGAAACAGCTTCCTGCCCATCAACTTTGAACCTAGATGTGCTCTAACAGCAAAGCTATATACAGCCTCTGTCTTGTTGGCATACAAAGCAAATGCAGTTCTGGAGAAGGTAGGAAATCATTCCTCCAGAATGGAAAGGAGCCCATTAAAAGAAAAAAGAAAGAAAAAGAAAACAGAAGCATAGGTCAAACAGCTCCAGTCAACTTTATGACTCACCCACTTCAAACTGTATCCTTGCTGCCAAACTGGCAAGGCATTTCACAGGCACTCACTTCATCCCTAACGGTTCTTTTGAAAGCATGTAAACAGATATTTTGCACGGTCGGAGGGGTATGTGTGGTGTGTCTGTGTGCTTACGCTCTCTTTCACACACACCCTGCTGCTTTAAGAGGAAAGTTAACAAAACATTGCTTCATAGGCAGTTGGGTGAGAGTGAATAAATATCAATGGAAGAATTGCCTGATAGGATCACATCCAACATCCATTTCGTCTGGCATCCTTTCCTACAGTGGCCAAACCATGCACTGTATCTCCCCCCACCCCTGCAAAAAGAAAAGAGACAGATCCCTGCCTGAACTGCTGCCAGTCAGGGTAGACAATACTAGCTAGATGGACCATTGGTCTGACTCAGTATAAGGTAGCTTCATATTATTTATTATGATAATTATGCTTGTCAATCCATTTAAGGTAAGCAACTAATTCCTCTGAGTACACAGCAAAGTTATTTGCTTTTCTGCTAGTCCACAGACAGAGATTTTGTGGTGAGGGGGACCAAGGAGTCCATGGGTAAAAATCAACAGCCCAAAATTTCAATATGGGGAGCTAAACAGGTTTTAACAGCTGCTTAATTTTATTAAGGGCTGATTTTACAATAAAAATAAACTTCCAATCTCATTCACCTTTTCTAAGTTATGATACATACCAAGAGAAATGAAGAAAAATCTGCAAATGGTGGAATGCAAAGTATTTTGAGATGCAGATGGCTGCACACACTAAGCTGGCAGTAAGTCCCATTGAACAAAACGGAACTTGCTTCCAAAGAGATATGCCTGGATAGAATTACATGGTAAGCAAATATGTTGCACCTGGAACAGGGGCATATCTCTGTGGCTCCCCCAGAACTGCCTTAGGCACATTTACTCAGAAGTAAAGCCTTACTGACTTCAACTGCACCTCCTCCCTCTCACAGGGAGACTTTGGAGACCTTTTTAAATTAGGCTGAGTATTGCAGCCATGAGGTCAAACTCAGGGGCTCAGGTCCAAGATAGAGATTTCAGGTTAAATAAGTCCCCCCGCCCTTGCTCTTCCCCTTTTATGTCATATTTCGTCTGATAAATAGCTCTGGGCAGATTGAAAGCTCGTCGCGTTTCGGTGGATCCCACCCACAAAGGTGTGGTCTAAGTATGGATCTCCTTTCCTTGTCTTGAATTCATAGAATCATAGTTATTATTTCATAAGGACTTCAAAGAGTGTATAGGATTGCACCTAAATCACTCACCAGGGATGCAAAAGAAAAAAGCGACAGAAATGACAGAAAAAAGCGACAAAAGAAATGCAGTCAGACAAATAGATATCTGTGCCACATTCCCCTCCCCGGGTCCCCCACCTTCGACTCTCTGGGCTTGTGCGCCCGAAACCCACTAGCCCAGCCCAGCCCAACCCCGACGGGCAACTCACAGGTGGGTCGGGCCTGCCCGCCCCCCGCGCGCTGGTGGGTCTGCTCCATCTCCGGCGGCTCCGCTTCCTCTGGGGGAGCCAAGCAAGCTCCGCGCTGGAAGTTTGAATCTCCCGCCGCCTCCCTTCCTTCTCTTTCCAGCTGAGGCCGCCGCGGAGGATCCTGGGACCTGTAGTTTCCTTGGTGAGCCCAGCCAAGGCAGTTGCATTGCGGGATGCTTTGTACGCCTTCCCGGGCGGGGTTTGCAGGGAGAGCTCGGGAAGCGAGGAGGAGCAAAGCGTGTTCGAGCTTCCCAGTTTCCAGAAACCAGGGAACCCGCTGCGGGGCTCCAACAGCTGCCGGACTACAACTCCCATCATCCCTACCCATTGGGCATGATGGCTGGGGCTGATGGGAGCTGCAGTCCTCAAACTATCTCCGGAGGGCCACCTAAGGCGCAGCAAGACTCTTGTTGCTTGTTTGTCAGAGACAAACGGACATATGGGTGTCCTTTCGCTACAGTCACGAGTATTTCTTCCAGTATTTTCAGTTTCTTTGGCGCGCATAATCGTGCTTGGTGTCATTTTCCTTTTCAAATGGGCTGATTAAAGAGAGAGGTTCTCCAACTAGTCAGGCCTGCTTGAGAAGAAGTAAAAACGGGAAAGAAAATCAGGCTAGTAAATTTATTGTCGCATAAGCTTTCGTGGTCTGAAGTCCCCATTTTCAGTCCTCGCTATCTTTATATGCATCTGTAAAGAAGAAAGCAAAGGAGGGACTGCTTGCTAAAATTCCAACGCGAGGAAAAAAAGGAAAAGGTGTCAATTACCAATCTAATCCCTACGTTCACGCCACAACTTTTTTTAAAATAAGAACAACTCTGCATAACACTTGTGAAAACAAGAAACTCACTCACCTGTTTTTAAACCAAAATTAAGAAACGGCACTGTACCTGGAAACACTGCAATGCCCGGTTCAGTGCGTGGAGCAAGCCACAAATCCATCTCCCAGTTTCAAAAATTTCTTTAATATCTGGTATATTCTCTAGGTGTGAACAAAATGTGAAACTGTAAAAAAAACAAAAAACCCAGATACTTCACTTTGATCTCAGCCACGAGATCGAGAAGCGACACCCTCCTTAGAACAAATGCCCAGTGCATTCTAGCCTAGGTTTCTGAGGGCACGGCTGCAGGTTCAGGCGCTCGCCGCCACAGCCGGGATTGGCCGCTTTGCTATCCCTGCACAAACGCAGCTCTTCCGTCCCCTCCGCGTGAACAACCTTATGCTGGGTCATTTTAATCATAAATTTAGGGACCCTCTGCGGCTCGTTCATTTCACAGAATCATAGAATTGTAGCGTTGGAAGGGACTTCGCAGATTGGTCTGTGGTTTGCACAAATCACATTTGCATAAACCTTACATGAATCACACAAAAACCCCTTTCCTAGAATGCCGTGTCAAATCTTTTGAGCATCGCTGGTATGGGCGCTGGTATTGCGGGGGTGGGGGGAGGACTTTTGTTAGCGGGAGGGCAGAGCTATCTGCCACTCAATTGGTCAGTTAGTTGAGTATTTTTATTTAGTTACTTGATTTAGAGGGGGCAACTGCTCCCCCTGGCTACACCCATGATTGCTGGTAGTTTTTGTTAGGAGGTGCTTTGCAAAAAGTTTACCTTCTAAGTCTAGATGGGAGCAAATGCGGGCACATTGCTATCCAGTTCCTCCTCCTGGGACTCCAGAATACAAACACCTGACCTCAGTCCCACGCCTGGGGGCACCAAGGCAGAGCACCACACACACACACACACACACACAGAGAGAGAGAGAGAGAGAGAGAGAGAGAGAGAGAGAGAGAGGAGCGGATGCTGTCAATAAAAGCCAGTAATAGGCTGCCACCACCACTGCTCTCTGCTTAGGCAACCTGAGGCAGGAGAGCTCAGGCTGCACCCTGGATGTCCCCAAGATCCCAAATGTAAGAGCTAAAGTAGCATTCCCTGCATTTGGGTCCTGAGACAGAAGAAGCCAAATCATACAGCAGGAGATGTGACCAAAGAGGTATAATAATAATAATAATAATAATAATAATAATAATAATAATAATAATAATAATAATTTATTTGTACCCCACCCATCTGACCAGGTTGCCCCAGCCACTCTGGGTGAATTCCAACATATATAAAAACATAATAAAATGTTACACATTAGAAAGCTTCCCTATACAGGGCTGCCTTCAGATGTCTTCTTAAGGTCTAAGACACTGGTTTAAGAACCAAGTCTTAATCCAAATAAACACGCCAAAATGAATAGGTAGATTTCCACCCCCACCCCCAGGGTCTGGCTAATTCTCTGTTTACACTTGCATGCTTCTGCCAGGCACATAAGTCTGTGCACCTCATAAGAATGTACCTGTGTCTTTAAAAAGCAACAGGAGACTGGCTGCATGCAAATACCGGTACCATCACAGGTAACCTTGGGAAAAGAGAGAGAGAGATGTGGGTCCTCAGTTGTTAGAGCTGGTTGTCATGGAGAGAGTCAGCATGTCTCAGGCATACTGAAAAGAAACTTGAATCCTCGCAAGCCATCATGGGAAGGAGGGAGGGAGGCCAGAGTTTGCTCTGCAGGGACTGGGAGATTGGCATGGTGACAATTTCTTACATTTTCCTACAAAAGGCCTCCATCAAATTGCACGTCTGAAAGCTATATATGTACATGACCTTGAAAAATGTTTGTTGTACTCTACGAAGAAAGCCTGCACATAAAAAGTCTTTTAAATAAGAAACCCTTGAAAATTTCACCAAATGAACTTTCCTGCGTGATGCTGACATTTGACAGCATTTGCGAAAGTGATCTGTAGCTCCACAAATCCTATCCCAGATCGTCAGCGTTCACTAGAAAAATATTACTGACTTTCATCTCGGTGAGTCATAAACCTTTATTATTATTGTAGGCATGTGTTTAAATAAATTAGTTACCAACTTTTCTTCTTCTTCTCCTTCTTGCACAGGGGCTCCTGTTTCTTTCTTTCACGGCTGCAAAACAGGAATAAATTCAACAGCTGAGCCAACACTCACCCAATTTCCTGTTGTTATCTCTCCTCTCCCTTCTTCCCCTTTGCTTTCTCACATCAAGTTTTCCCTACACTTTGTTTTTGCATCCATCCAGGTCTCCGGAAGACGCTTTGCACCCTCTCTCTCTCTTTTTAAACCTCCTGAGCTGATTTTGAAACATGTGGTGTATTGCGGTTAACGACATGAAACGATGACAAGGTTTCCGCTTTATTGGATGTTCTCCACGTGACGCTCTCTCTTGCTCCTGTTTCCCCTAGAAATGGACTCCCACCAGCTGAGCAGCAACCACTGATGGCTCTGGAGGAATCCTCTGTACTGGAGGCACAGCTCAGTCCAGAAGAAGGTGGACGGCAGGGCTCTAAGGTGCCCAACAAGAAAAAGAAGAAATGGAAAGGAAAGGCAGAGGCAGAGGCACCCGGGGAACCTGAGAAGGAAGGCGAGGTGCCCTTGAGGAAAGAAGCCAAGATTGAAGACCTCACCAAAGCTGGCCACCAGGCCCTGCAGCTTGGCGCTGTTGGAGAGGCCTTATCCTGCTTCAAGAAGGCCTTTGCCCTCTCCTTGGAAACCTCAAGTGCTCAGGCCCGGAAGGTGTGTGCTTTCAACCTGGGCGCAGCCTATGTGGAGGCCGGGAAGCCGGAGAAGGGCCTGGAGTTCCTCCTCAAATCCCACTCTGAGGAAGGGGAAGCCGGGGAGCATCTTGGGGACCTTTTCTTCAACGTTGGGGCAGCCCACGAAGGCCTGCGGGATTTCCCCAAGGCCTTGGAGTCTTTCCGCAAGGCCCAGGATCACTACCACTCGGTCCAGGCGGGCAGCGAGGCCAGCACCTACATGAAGATGGGCTACTGCTACCTGGGCATGGAAGACCCTTCGCGGGCTGCCCAGTGCTTCCAGGAAGCCGGCCGGGCCTACGTGGAAGTCGAGAGCCTAGAAGCTGCCGCAGTGGCCCTCAGCAAAGCCGGCAACTATATGCTTCAGAGCGGAGAGCATGGCGCCAGCGAGATCGTCAAGGTGTTGAACGAGTGCCGTTTGCTGTGTGAGCGTCTCTCAAACAAAGCTCTGCTGGGTATGTCTTAAGGGACCCTGAAAGGAAGAGTTTGGGTCAGCCACATAATGCCTGTGTACCATAGGCAAAAACATTCCTCTTTTAACCAGGCTTGTGGCTGATTGACATCCAGTGCCCTTTTAAAATTTGTTAGGGAGCGGGGGATTATTGGGTGGTTGTTATTGTTTTTATTATGTATTTTATGTTTTTATATTGTGATTTGTGCTTCTATTGTAACTGCACTGGGACCTGCTGCTAAAGGCTGGTATACAAATTTAATAATAATAATAATAGGGTTGCGTTTGCCTGGCCCCTTCCAGGTGGTGAGTTAAGGTTTTGAATCTGCAAGTGGTCAAGAGTGCCATACACTCTTGTGTGTGTGAATGACTATGCATGCAGATTGCAAGTTCCAGAACGGCAGGAGCTGGCAGCAAATTATAGTATAGACCTTCTGGGTGGTCTGCCTTCCTCCACTCCCTCTCTACCAATTAACCTGCATCTCCAAGGTCAGCCTCTGTGACCTCACCCAGAACCTCCCCTAGGTCTCAGGTTTGGGCCCTGAAATATCAGGGGCTGAGATGCTCCTGACCTGGCAACCTTAATGTATTACCTAGGAATCAGGTGAGGTGGGAAGAGGCCCACCCATTTGTCTCTATGACAACATGTCTTTGGACATGTAAATCATGACACTTAACTGACCAGCGAGGGCCATTACCTTAACAAAGGAATTAGTTGGTCCTGTTCACCAGGTTCCCTCTTGCACATTCTGCCCTCACAGATACAGGATCACTTTTTGAAAGGGACACATTGGCATCATTCAGACGGAACCCCCCAAATCTATAAAACTATTTTAATATTGAATTGATTCATATATTTATCAATATATGCTGTTTTTCTTCTCTCTCTCTCCCTCTCTCCCTCTCTCCCTCTCTCCCCACCCCAGGAAAACTCTATAATGACATTGGGCTCTGCTTCTCCCAGCTCAAGATCTTCTCCTTGGCAGCAGAAAGCTTTGAGAGAGCTCTTCCACTCTGCCAAACCGATGCTGACGGCCGGTGTGAAGAAGCAGTCGTCCTTCAGAACCTTGGGGCTGCCCATAACACCCTTGGGAACTTCCGGAAGGCTCTGGGGTTTCACCGGAGGGCCGCCTCACTACACAGTAAGTTGCTGTAGAGGACACCAAACTGGCCCAGGTCACTTGTCCAAATGCCCAGATGGGGTCTGACAAGAAGCACACAAAGTGATGTAGAAAACAAGAGGCAAAAAGGGGTATAGTGGTGAAATCTGAGATAAAGTAACACTTAATATTTTTTAAAGAGCCTTGTAATCAGTAAAGATTTATTGCACCATGAACTTTGGTCATCAAATGCATGGAATGCTATCCTCAGTGGGGAGATCTGTTTACTGAAAGCAACAAAACAGCACTACAAAAACAAGGAGCCGCTGAATTCTAGAAGGACATGAGCCAACTTTTAACCTCTTGGGCAGGTAGGGAGTGAATAAAAGATAGCATAAGTAAAAAGAAGAAAAATATATCTGTTCACCAGCCTTTGCCAACCTGGTGCCCACCAGATGTTTCTGCCTACAACTCCTATCAGCCCTAGCCAGCATGGCCATTTTGGACTACAACTCCCATTAGCCCAGTCAGCATGACCTTGCTGACTGCAGCTTATGGGAGTTGTAGTCCAAAACATAATGGAGAGCACTAGGTTGGTGAGCGCTGTCCCTTCATATTTGCAGCATTATTCTTTTTCAAGTGATCTCCTCCTCACTACTGCTGCTGTTTTCCCAGTTGTCTGTTTTAGATCGTAAGCTCCTTTGAAGCAGGGACTCGTTGATTTTTGCCGACAAAGCTCTTTAAGGCCCTAGTACACTGGTGGAACTTAATATGATGGTGATGTCAGAAAACTGGGCAGTTCTTTTGAAAACAAAAATGGCTTTGCCTCAGAAAAGCAATCCTTTTACTAGCTGCCTAACTACACATCGGGACGCTGGTGGCGCTGTGGGTTAAACCACAGAGCCTAGGACTTGTCGATCAGAAAGTCGGCGGTTCAAATCCCTGTGACGGGGTGAGCTCCTGTTGTTCGGTCCCAGCTCCTGCCAACCTAGCAGTTCAAAAGCACATCAAAGTGCAAGTAGATAAATAGGTACCGCTCCGGCGGGAAGGTAAATGGCGTTTCCGTGCGCTGCTCTGGTTCGCCAGAAGCAACTTAGTCATGCTGGCCACATGACCAGCTGTACCCCAGCTCCCTCAGCCAATAAAGCGAGATGAGTGCCGCAACCCCAGAGTCGGTCACGACTGCACCTAATGGTCAGGGGTCCCTTTACCCTTTTTAACTACACATCTTGGATTGAACATTATCACCTCCTGTGCATTTTACAACAGAGTGACAGGCAAAAACCCGCCAGGTGAGGCTTTTTCCTGGCCCAGGTGTCAAGTGAAAGGGAAGACTTTGCTCCCCCTCCCCAATCTCTCTGTGTGAGACACAAGAGTGGGGCCTGTGAAAACAAAAAAATTGTTCAGCAATAGGTGGAACGCTTCATGGAACCCACAATCTGTGGATATTTTTGCGCAGGTGCCCTGGGAAACAGGAGAGCTCAGGGACAGTGTTTTGGCAACTTGGCCTATGCGCTGAGCCAACTGGATGACCACGAAGCTGCTGGTGAACATTATCTTCATGCGCTCCAAGCCTTCAAGGACTCAGGTGAGAAATGAGGTGTGGAGACGGGAAAGATGGAAGAGAGATCCAGGGAAAGTGTTTTCCCACCCCCTGCATCACCAAGGCCAAAGGGGGTTGTAACTGTTTTGTAAAAAGCAGTGAAGGCAGGTCCAAACTCATGTATTATTATTATTTTTATTAGATTTATCACCACCCTTCAGCAGCAAATTCCAGGGCAGGTTACAACAATTTAAAATTCAGAATTAAAAACAATTAAAACATAATATATTCAGAAAAATAGGGAGCACCCTGAAGACACACATCTCAGGTGTCAAAGGCCAGCATAAAGAGGCCGGATAGTGAAGAGGCCAGACGCAACTCTGTGGAGAGTTCCTCAATTTAGAGGCCGTAGCAGAGAAGGCCTTCTCCAGGGACCACCCCCTAAACTTATCAGGGTGATGGACCCTCTCTGTTGCTCTTAATACCTGGGAGGGTCTGTAGGGAAGGAGGCGGTCCTTCGGATATTTGGTGCCTAAGTCATTTAGGGCTTTGATTAGTAATGCGAGCACCCTGAATTGGGCCCAGCAGTGAACTGGCAGCCAATAACAAGTGCCTCTGTCCATGGGGCACTTCCTTTCACTTTTGTGTTTCTGTTTACCTTACCTAAGGCCAACCTAAAGGGCCAAAGCCCCTAGGCTGCATTCTTCCTGGAAGTAGCTGGGAGAGCTGTTGACAGGGAATCCGGCTTCTGATAGTTTCCTAAACTTAAGATACATGTAGTGACTGGCAGCAGAACTCTGGTTAGGAACACAATACCTAAGGGGAGTAACGATATATATTACACTTTTGCCCTCCCACTGTGGCATTTGATAACCATGTGTTCACTTACTCTCATTCAAGTTTGAAAATCAGGCTACAGGGGATAGAAGGATCCACCAATTTCATTTCTCTGTTTCTCATTTGTCAAGTCTTAAATTCAGTCCTTCACATTGTTCAGCAATTTGCAATGGTTTTTTTTTTATATAAAAAAATCCTCATGAAAATTCATCAGCATTTTGGTGCAAATTTCTCTTAATAAACACCTGTGTGCAGTTTTGACATGTGCACATTTTTGTGACCAATCTTGCATTTGTGCATGGTATTTTCACAAATATCCCAATTTTTATGCTTTCCCCTAAAACGTGGATTCTTTTGGAACCAATTGTTTAGCAGGAGAGCTGCATCACAAAATTCAGATAAGGAAGAATTTCAAAGGCTAGCTGTGTTTCGGTTTGCATGCTGTTTTGGAAAATGATAATTTGCTTTAAATGTGAACTGACTCTCATTTCTCCCCCAACCCTACAGACAACAGAACAAGTGGCTGTGTGGCCATTATCCCAGCCAACCCATTAGCAGCTGGGCTGCAGAACTTAGAGATGTAACTGCTGTGACTAGCTGCCCATTTGTTACTGAGCCAGGTTTATGGTCCTTGCATTCATTTACAAAGCCCTAAACCTCTTAGGTCCAGAGTACCTCAGGGACCGCTTTAACCCTGATATCCCAGCTCATTCATTGAAGTAATCTGCAGGAATGCCGTTTGTAATTCCCTGAGTTGGCAAGGCTCATTTGACGGCAACAGGAACCTGAGCCTTTTGTGTCATCGGTCCACCCCTGTGGAGTACTCTTCTGATAGAGATTCAGCCAGGGATCAACCATGGCAAATACAACAGGAAATGAGAACAGAAGATATGGAACTGGGTGCAAACAGATGAATACATAATAAGTAAAGAACTATAGGATCACAGAAGAGAGTCTCTTGTGGACAAAGATGGAAAGACTTATTATTGTTAAATATGGAGGAATGGTTGTTGAAGTTATTGGAGACAAAGCTGGTATGTTTGGTTAGATAAAAGCTATTGCTGACATTTAAAAAGAAATAGATAGATGATAGATAGATAGATAGATAGATAGATAGATAGATAGATAGATAGATAGATAGATGATAGATAGATAGAACCCCTTTTGGACTTCTTGTGTAAAAAGGAAAATGAATTGATCTGTTTATGTTGGAAGATTGTGGAAATATTGCCTAACAGAAAGTAGATCAGTTCGGTGTCATTCTAGAGTTAATATTTTGAATAATTTATTTTATGTAACTGACAAGCAGAAAATCAGAAGTCCTTTTTTATTTTTCTTCTCTTTTCTGTTTCCCCTTTCCCTTTTGTTTTTCCCCCTTTTCTTTTCTCTCATACCCTCTCTGTTTTTGTATTTATTTAGATTAGTTTTTTCACCTTATTGTATTCTGAAAAAGCTTTGATAAAATCTTGTTGTTGTTGTTTTTAAAAAATAGAGATTCAGGCAGCACCTTCAGTATCAACTTTTAAACATCTGCTGAAAACTCTTCTATGCCACTGGATCTGTGCAGGCAATTAAGAGTTCATTCTTCCACAATAGTCTATTTCTGCTTTGATATTTTTTAAAAGAGCAGTATCAAAATCTTTTTTATAAGTAAAACAAAATAAATAATAGGGGGCTTATTTGTCTGTTCTTCAGACTGAACCCTGCTCTGCTTCCCTCCAACCCCTTCTCCTTTTATGCACAGGTGACCTTCCAGGCCAATGGCAAGCTTACGAAGGGCTTGGGGCATCACACGCTCACCTGAGAGACCCTGGCAAAGCCATTTTGTATTACAAAGAGGCACTTACCTTGCTCTCTAAATGCCAGGTAAGGCTTGTTTCAGTAGCTGGTTCTGTGTTTAAAATTCAGACTGTATTTTGATTATACAAAATGAACCTGTTGCTGACATGCTGTTTAATAGACTTGCTCAATGTGGATTCAGAATTTAGGAATTTGGAGTAACTGATGGCATTTCCAGACTGTTGCTCTTTTTTTGGGTGGGATTCAGTCACATACTGGTAAATTCAGGTTGTGCAATTATGGTTGGCTTTTAAAAAAAATAATAGATTTATATCCCCTGCTTGCTCCTGAAGGAGTGCAGGGCAGTGGACAGAGCGACTCACAAACGACTCTGGGGTTGTGGCGCTCATCTCGCTTTACAGGCTGAGGGAGCCAACGTTTGTCCGCTCCGCAGACAATTTTTTCAGGTCATGTGGCCAGCATGACTAAGCCGCTTCTGGCACAACGGAACATCGAAACCAGAGCAGCACATGGAATCACTTTTTACCTTCCCGCCGAAGTGGTACCTATTTATCTACTTGCACTTTTTGGGGTGCTTTCTGCTTGGTTGGCAGGAGCTGGGACCGAGCAATGGGAGCTCACCCCATCATGGGGATTTGAACCACCAACCTTCTGATTGGCAAGCCCAAGAAGCTCAGTGGTTTAGACCACAGCGCCACCCACAGCATCACAAAATAAAATCTAAAAACAGTTTTAAACATTCTAAAAACAGTTAAAAACATTGTCTCAGTCCGTGGCCTCAGGGGGCCAGGAACAGTGTCTTTCAGCTGCCAAATGCCTAGGTGAATAGGAATATTTCTAAATTTCTCCTGAAATTTAACAGTGAGGAAGACAATATGTACCTCACTAGGGAAGGCATTCCACAAATGAGGAACCACCATGGAAAGGGCTCTGTCACAGGTCAGTGCCAGCCAAGCAGTCCTCAGTGGCAGTGTCTCCAACAAGACCATGTGGGACACGGGATGTCATGCACAATAAACTATCTTCCCCAGAAGATCAGACTTTTTGTTGTTGTTTAGTTGTTTAGTCGTGTCCGACTCTTCGTGACCCCATGGACCAGAGCACGCCAGGCACCCCTGTCTTCCACTGCCTCCTGCAGTTTGGTCAAACTCATGCTGGTAGCTTCGAGAACACTGTCCAACCATCTCGTCCTCTGTTGTCCCCTTCTCCTTGTGCCCTCCATCTTACCCAGCATCAGGGTCTTTTCCAGGGAGTCTTCTCTTCTCATGAGGTGGCCAAAGTTTCAGGAGCCTCAGCTTCAGGATCTGTCCTTCCAGTGAGCATGCAGGGCTGATTTCCTTAAGAATGGATACGTTTGATCTTCTTGCAGTCCATGGGACTCTCAAGTGTCTCCTCCAACACCATAATTCAAAAGCATAAATTATTTGGCGATTAGCCTTCTTTATGGTCCAGCTCTCACTTCCATACATCACTACTGGGAAAACCATAGCTTTAACTATACGGACCTTTGTTGGCAAGGTGATGTCTCTGCTTTTTAAGATGCTGTCTAGGTTTGCCATCGCCTTTCTCCCAAGGAGCAGGCATCTTTTAATTTTGTGACTGCTGTCATGATCTGCATTGATCATGGAGCCCAAGAAAGTAAAATCTCTCACTGCCTCCATTTCTTCCCCTTCTATTTGCCAGGAGGTGATGGGCCCAGTGGCCATGATCTTGGTTTTTTTGATGTTGAGCTTCAGACCATATTTTCACTCTCCTCTTTCACCCTCATTAAAAGGTTCTTTAATTCCTCCTCACTTTCTGCCCTCAAGGTTGTGTCATCTGCATATCTGAGGTTGTTGATATTTCTTCTGGCAATCTTAATTCCGGCTTGGGATTCATCCAGTGATGAGGAAAGTGTTGGGGAAATTGGCTGGAAAGTGCGTGACATCACTTGCGTTGATGCAATTTCTCGTAACCTCTACACAAAGAAAATCAAGATAAATGATACACAGATCATCTGGAAGTGTCCTAAGTCTGTTGCAAATTTGCCTGAGGTGAACAATGGTTGTTGCCTGTTATTGACCTTGTTTCAAAGATCAGTAGACATGAGACCCAGATGGAAATCCTTGAGGTGGTGTTTGCTTCTAATAACAAGCAGTTATAAACTTGTAAGCTTTCACCCCTTTTAGAGAAAACCGTGCCTTTTCATCTTAAAAACCTGGAAAGAACCACCGGTGAACCTACACCAAGGCTCCAAAACTCTAATACACTGGCTAGTTAGTTGATGAACTAAAGAAAATTGTGAATCCGCACTAACTTCACTGAACCTATTACATATATCTTTTCTTTAATGCCAGGATGTCTCAGGAACAGCCCAGGAGCGAATTGTGAACAAACTTACAGATGCCCTCCAGAACAAACTGTCTATGAACAGCAATTTCTTCCATGGTGGGGGGATTCTTCCGTCTGCTTCCATGGTGAGTTCCCTGCCTGCCACCTTGTGCCATTTGTTTGGAATTAAACATGTGAGCCCCTGCCCTACCCACCACTGGACAAGCATTTGCAATGTCACGGAATGTTCACAAACATTATTAATTACTGGTGAGGAAAGGTTGTTGTTGTTGTTTATATCCCATCCCTCTGGCTGGGTTTCCCCAACCACTCTGGGCGGCTTACAGCATGTCCAGAAACATAATATAAACATCAAGCATGATGAGCAAACCATGTCGGTTCTTTGAGGCAAGTTAATTTTTTTTTTGGGGGGGGAGGATCACATGGGACCCAGATACAGGCTGAAGTCTCCCACATGTTTATAGCAGTCCGCATCTTTTTTAACAGCTGTGCTAGAATCTTCTAATATGTTACACAGAGAGAGAACAGCCAGGTAAGAAGAAAATAACAGCTCAAAACTATACTACTGTTGTTGTTTCACTTCCTCCTAGTGAGAAAAATAATTGAAACTTGTAGAAGTATTTTTTTAAGCCAGGGCATTGGGCTAAATCAGCTTCCTCCCAACCTGGTGCCCTCCAAAGATGCTGGACTCTGACTACCATCTGGGTTGACCAGCATGGGATGATGTCTAAAACATCTGGAGGGTATGAAGTTAGGAAAGCCTGGGCTAGATTATCCATTAGGACCCTAGCTATGACCGTTTCTCTCTCTGCTCAGAAACAGCTTCCTACATCACAGACCTCAAGCCAGGTTCGATTTGCTATGTTGCCCCATCGTAAGAATGAGAGCCTCCCTCCCACGCTGTGCCACGCCAGCGAATCGTAAGTAAGGGAAATGTGCATGTTATGGTGCCTCTCTGTCCAAGTTCTTGTCTCCTTACTGTCTCTCTCTCCCTAGACTGATTTCCAGAGATGAGAGAGGATATAAATTATTGAAATAATAAGTGGACTGAATAACTTGGCAAAAATTACAAGATAATAGGACCAGATTTATGATTTATAAATGTATGGAGAACAGCCCATGAAGTAGCAGTACTGAAGAGGGGAAAGAAACAGACACTTTCTATTTCTTTCCCCTCTTCATTTGCCCCACCAGTACTGCCCTGGGAACGCCATGGTTTAGCACTGAATTGAGTTTTCCGCAGACTGCCGTTGGTTCCAATTTAGTGCCAAAGAGCAGGTTGCCCGGGGGGAAGTGACGAGCAAAGTCTGTCTGAGTTGAGGGGGGAGTGGCACTGCTTTGCAGTGGTTCCAGTACTCCTTGGAGAGACATTTCCAGAGGATGCTGCTTGGGGACGGTTCTTTGGCCCCATGGAGCTTTTGGTGTGGTGTTCCTCAGGGTTCAATTTTATTCCCTTTGTTCTTGTTTCCATTATGTATTTTGTGTTTTCATCTGGTATTTTTATGTTGTGAACCACCCTGAGATCTACGGGTGAAGGGCAGTACAGTGGTACCTCAGGTTACATACGCTTCAGGTTACATACACTTCAGGTTACAGACTCCGCTAACCCAGAAATATTACCTCAGGTTAAGAACTTTGCTTCAGGATGAGAACAGAAATCGTGCTCCGGCGGCGCGGCAGCAGCAGGAGGCCCCATTAGCTAAAGTGGTGCTTCAGGTTAAGAACAGTTTCAGGTTAAGTATGGACCTCCGGAACGAATTAAGTACTTAACCCGAGGTACCACTGTATACAAATTTAATACATTAAAAGAAATTAATTAAAAAGTGCCCATGCCTAGAAAGCACAGGACAAATGGGAGTGTGGGCAAGTCTCATGCCATTTGCTTCAGTACTTCCTGATAGCTTTCCCTTTGTTAAAACTACTGGTACGTTCCTTTAGATGACGTTGGCTAGGATGATATGACGTTCAAGCTCCCTGTTGAAGGGAAAACAATAATAGGCAGTAAATGAGCATGACTGAAGATCTTACAATAGAGTATGGACATGAATACTTTCCTGTTTTCTAGCGAGAGAAGGGAGGATGTTTAACATTTTCTCGTTGCGTGGTGTTTATCTTGTTCATTTAATGTATATTATCTCAAAGTCAATTAAAAATACATTCCAAATATTATTATTAGAAATAACACATGGACACTGTTTGGTCACGGCTGATCTTTAGGAAATCCTGAGCTTACAAGAACATGATTAAAAGAACATGGCCACACACAGGCACCATCAAAGGCTCAAAATAAACATTTGTATTGTCTGAATATCACACCTCTATTTCTTGATTCTTTGCAGCTCTGTCACACAACAATGCCACCAGGCGCAGCCCATAGAAGAGCAGTCTGCACTGGCCCCATGGAACCAGAGATCTTCTCAGTGGGGGGAAATGGTAGTCCCTCATAGCAGCCATCTGAAACCACAGCAGGCTGCCCATGGAGCATCAGGTAACCCCCTCTCTACTTCTGGTCCTGCAGTCTTCTCTGCATAGTGCCATTTTCCCCCTAGTACAGAGATGGAGGATCAAGTCAGACATCAAACCATGGTTATGAATAAGAAACCATGACTTGCTATGTGAGGCTTGCCAACCAAGGTTTGTGCCAACCGTGGTTTGGTGTGATGCAGATCCACACCACACAATCTAAAGCACATCAGATGCACATTTAAAGCACACAACCTCCCTCAAATAATCATGGGAAATGTACTTTGTTAAGGGTGCTGGGAACCGTAACTCTGTGAAGGGCAAACTACAGTTCCCAGGGTTCTTTGGGGGACATCACATGCTTTAAATGTGCATTGGATGTGCTTTAAATGTATAGTGTAGATCTGTCTGGGACTGACAGACTTATAGTTTTGGGTCTTCCTCAACCTGCAGAGGTAACTGCAGCTCGAGATGGTTATGCTGAGCAGCTCTTAACCATGATTGGCCTGTGGTGAATATGGAAGCTCAAACTGTGGTTAGCACAAACCTTGACTTAGTGTGATGTGTGAAGACAAGAGCCAAATTTGGTGGTGAAATGTTGAACTTGCAGTTGAGGTGAAATAGGTAGATGACAGGTCGTCAACCTTTTGAGGACAGTGGAATTCTGAGCAAGTGCTGTCACAAAATGTCTGCAGTGGTGGTGTGGCAAAATGCAAAATTACTGTATGCCCCCCCCATCAGCCTCCCCATCAATGGGAAAAGGCACCCGCATTAGCCGTGCTACACGTGCTCACTGTTTGGATCAAATGGAGGTGAGTGTCCAGTGAAATGAGGATATGTTTAAAGAGAGCTTGTTCAACATGGGAGAGTCTGAGTCACTGCAAACAGCAACTGAGCAGGAAGAGAAAACAGTCCTTCGTGCATTGTGTTTTGAGGGGGTATTTACTGAGACCTTTCATGGGCACCATAACATTGGTGATGCATCGGCAGCTGTGTTGTAGGTGATGGAGAGACCACTTTGCCTCTCAATGCTTTATCTTCCTGTAGTGTTGGTTGCTGCAACACATGGAGACAGGATCTCCACTCCTGGAATTCCGAACGGACGTGCCATGTTTGTCAGCAGTAGCACTGAAGACACCAAGCAGCCCATGGGGACTTCTGCCTGTCGCAACCAGACACAGGCTAACAGGTCAGCTCAGAAGCAATAGCTGCTCCCCAAAAGGTGCTGGCACTGGGTATATCTGCACGTGCCCTTAATTTTGAAAAAGGAAGGTGTTCAAAACATCTTTTCCTTTAATAGTTTAGAACATTTATTTACCTTTTTTGCGATACTGTAAATAAATAGCTACAAATTCCCTTACTCTTCATCTGATCCACCATCACCCTGACTCTGCACCAAACCATGGCTGAGTGTTAAGTCATACTCAGAGTAGACCCATTGAGCTCAATGGACAAGTTAGTTGGACCCATCAATTTTAATTGAGTCTGCTCTGAGTAAGTGAAGTCAACCCAAGGCAAGAATGATTTGGGGAAGGAGAAGGCCTGTTTTCCCATGAGCATTTCCACCCACATTCTCCCTTCCAAATGTTGTGCGTTTGTAAAATTAAAACAAACAAACAAACAAACAAACAAACAAAAAACAGAGGAGGAAACAGTGATTCTGGAAATCAGATCTCAGTGACATCCTTTATTCTTTTCTAGCAATCTCAATGCTTTTCTGCACCTGGATCCCTCCTGTCACAGCTGCTTACAGAACAGGAAGTCCCACAATTCACAACTAAGTAAGTACAGTGGTGTCTGCAGGGCTCTTGCTCAGAAGGGGCAAAACCAGGGCTTTTTCAGCCGGAACTCGCTGGAACTCAGTTCTGGCACCTCTCAGGTGGGTGCCATTGTTATTATAAGAAAACAAAGGGAGGCGTTCATGGTGAGATCTGGCACCTCTTTGGCTAGAAAAAAATAGCACTGAGCAAAACCTTAACCAAGAGGGGTAAATTTTGTAAAAAAATTATTGGTTTTTACAATATTTTCGACAAACAGACACACAAAATGAACAGACATAACAAACATAAATCATAACCTTATTAAAAATAACAGTTATTAACTTTGTAAAGCGACTTCCTCGTTTCCCCTTGGTTGAATTTCATTGCATGTCCTTATAACGGTTTTCCAAATCGCAATTCTTATAAACTTTAACTTAAACATTAACATCTTTAAATCTTCTCCTTATAGTATTAAACATATTATTTTATCACTTAACATAAATACAATCCTAAGCCCATTAAATATCTGGAAGCTATTTCCGGCTAGTTTAACTTAACAAATTTAGCTAAATAATCATTAAATTTATTCCATTCTTCAAGAGGGGTAAATTTTGAAGCTCAATCCAGATAAGACCGAACTACTGGTAGTGCATGGTTCTGTAGACCAGATGGCTGGGAGATGGCTTGCTTGGGTCAGAAACTGAGGAGGCCTGTTGCAGAAAAATCTTGTCTTCCCAAAGTGAATATTTCTAAGTAGGACAAACAGCATGGCCTCTAATGGCTTTCCCCTAATTCAAAGGTTCTGAGACCTTCTGTCCCCAGGGCTCACTTGAGAGGGCTGAAAATTACTGTAGACCACGAGTCACAAAATGGTGGTGGAGGTAGAGTTTGGCATAACCAGCTTGCAATTTACTAACATAGGCCATATTCACACCATACATTTAAAGCACTAGGATACCACTTTAAACAGCCATGGCTTCCCCTCAAATAATCCTGGGAGCTGTAGTTTGCTAAGGGTGGGGTTACCATCCATACCTGATATTCTCAGGGAACTCTGGGAATTGTAGCTCTGTGAGGGGAATGTTGGCCTCCTAATAAAGTAAAGGTACCCCTGCCCGTACGGGCCAGTCTTGACAGACTCTAGGGTTGTGTGCCCATCTCACTCAAGAGGCCGGGGGCCAGCGCTGTCCGGAGACACTTCCGGGTCACGTGGCCAGCGTGACATTGCTGCTCTGGCGAGCCAGAGCCGCACACGGAAACGCCGTTTACCTTCCCGCTGGTAAGCGGTCCCTATTTATCTACTTGCACTCGGAGGTGCTTTCGAACTGCTAGGTTGGCAGGCGCTGGGACCGAGCAACGGGAGCGCACCCCGCTGCAGGGATTCGAACCGCCGACCTTTCGATCGGCAAGCCCTTAGGCCTCCTAATAACTCTCAGCAAACTTGACAAAGTACAGCTCCCAGAATTCTTTGCAGGAAGCCACAGCTGTGGAAATTGGCATCATAGCGCTTTAAACATGTGGTTTGGAAATTGCTGGAATATTTGCCACAGTACTTTGGATGTGGCAAGGCCATTCCACAGTCCATTTGAGAAACACTGCCCTAAACTCTGGTTTATGCTGCTGTTTTTATGTCACACCCAGCAGGCCCCCACGAGTGCGAGTCTGGTCAACTGAGAGCAAGGGTCTTGGAGAGGTAGGTCGGTTCACATGATGTATAATAAGGATAATAATTTATTTATTTATATGCTGCACATCTGGCTGGGTTGCCCCAGCGACGCTGGGCAGCTTCCAACAAATTATAAAACCACAGTAAAAAACTTCCCTGTACAGAGCTGCCTTAAGATGTCTTTTAAAAGTCAGATAGTTGTTTATTTCCTTGACATCTGATAGGAGGGCATTCCACAGGGTGGGCACCACTACCGAGAAGGCCCTCTGCTTGGTTCCCTGTAACCTCACTTCTCACAATGAGGGAACCGCCAGAAGGCCCTCAGAGCTGGACCTGAGTGTCTGGGCTGAATGATTGGGGTGGAGACGCTTCTTCTCATGTACAGGGCTGAAGCCCAAGGCACTGTCCACCCAATGACCCACCTTACCAGCCAAACACATTTTGGCACCTAAGGCGAACCACAAAATGGTGCCTCTCCCCTCCCTCCCCCCCCCCCAGTCATGGAAGAAGGGGTGAGTGAAGCTCTACATCAGGAACAAAGGGGGAATAAAGATCTCCACTGGAAGCAAGGGTGGGAGGAGACCAGCAGTGGCTCCTATTTGCCATGATGCCACTGTGGCGTAGCGTGGGGGGGGGGTTGCCACGGAGACAGCAGATCCAGCCTCCCAAGGAGTGCATTGCAGCAGTTGCTGCCACTGTGGCAGCAGCAGCGGGTGATGCATTCCTTTGGAGGTCGGATCTGCTGCCTCCGTGGATCCTGTCCACAGAGGCGGCCACCTCACCTCAGTGGTGGACCTACATTTTCGGGGCCTCTTCACAACCAGCAAGTCTGGGTAATCGCTGTTGTCTACTTCAACAGGGTTGTTTACAATATTTGGGTTAAAGTAAAGGTAAAGGTACCCCTGCCCGTACGGGCCAGTCTTGACAGACTCTGGGGTTGTGCGCCCATCTCGCTTAAGAGGCCGGGGGCCAGCGCTGTCCGGAGACACTTCCGGGTCACGTGGCCAGCGTGACAAGCTGCATCTGGCGAGCCAGCGCAGCACACGGAAACACCGTTTACCTTCCCGCTAGTAAGCGGTCCCTATTTATCTACTTGCACTTAAGAGTGCTTTCAAACTGCTAGGTGGGCAGGAGCCGGGACCGAACGACGGGAGCTCACCCCGCCGCGGGGATTCGAATCGCCGACCCGACGATCGGCAAGTCCTAGGCTCTGAGGTTTTACCCACAGCGCCACCCGCGTCCCAAAACTTTGGGATTGTTGAAATGCATACCAATTTATTTATTTATGAATCAATTTGAGTCAGGTGGCAAAAATTGGTTCTACCAACCCATTTTTAAAAAAAGCAACGTGGGCTGAAGTTGCACTGACTGGCAGCAGTGGCTGTACAGGGTTTCAGGCAAGAGCCTCTCCTATCCTAGTTTTCCTGGAGATGACAAGGATTGAACCTGGGACCTTCTGTATGCAAGGCAGAGACTCTACCACTGAGCTATGGCCCTTCCCTTCCCTCGAGGACCCCTGCTGTGGTGGTCCACAGAGCAGTTTTGGAACTCGCTTCTTCTCTTTTCTTTCCAGGGCTGCTCCAGCTCCTGCCAGACCCTTTGCCAGCCAAAGTTTGGAGCCTCGCCGCCAGCAAGGATGGGGGGACAGGTTCAAGTCCATAATATGTGCTCTGATGTGACAGGTGTGTCTTGCTGCTGAATTGACTGTCTGGTGGGAGCTTTAGAAGGGTATTGATGCTCTTCTGGTCCAAACCACCATTCGTAAACTGTGGCACACCGCTTCTCTGAGGAACACAAGTGCTCTTCCGGGCCCGGCCAAAGTGGGACCACCTAGTCCGGCATCCTGTTCTCAGCACTGGCTGGCCGAGTGCTTCTGGGAAGTTCACGCACAAGGCATGAAGTCCACCCCAGGATTAATTGGGTCCCTCAACATCATTGGTGCTCTGATAACACCAGTTTAGTCACATTGGAAACTGCCTTGTTAGACCACAGATCCAACTGGCTCACGGCTCACTACTAGATATGTGCACAAAATTTCTTACAAAGTATTGTGTCTTTAATGAGATGATCAAAATTACATATCAACACATCACAAACCCTCCAGAACTTGCATTACTGAATCTGTAATGCAACTGTGCTTCATGGATAAACCACTAATTGGATTTCTTTAAGGGGCTCTAGATAGACACATGATGGAAGGACTTGAAAGGGACAAGTGTGAAGGCTTGCTACAAGAGAGGATGGCATATTGCCCTTACAGAAAAAAACTGACTCACCAGTTTAGACCAGCAAGGGGAACAAAGCACAAAGTGTGATTGCTATTGTGTGCCTTCATAGAAGCAAGTGCACACTGGGTAAGATTCTGCGGGCATTTGTGGAATTATGATGCCCTGGACCATATCACTTTCAAATCTTCTTTTTTTGTAATAATACATCCTGCTACACTAGTGTCACTTCACACAAGTAATCTCCTTTCTATATACATGTATCTCATGTGCCCATAAGAAAATTGCATAAGCCCAAATTTGTTACCAAACACCTGGCTGGAATGCATGTTACGAAACACACATCAAAGATGTCTGAAACAATTGGGATGCTGCTAATATTACCCAAGTATGGGCTATGGAGTAAATTAAATTTACAGAGCCTCCATCTCTGTCTAAATGTGTGGCTTTGCAAAAGAGCAAAGAGCTCTGGTTGTTCTGTTTTGAAGAGTTGGAAAAACTGAAGTAAAGGAATAATGTTCAAACCAACCAGGGGGCTAGCACAATTTAAGGGCTTCAAATCCTCCACTAAGCTATGAGGCTCATTGGTCGTGATCTTTCAGGCCAGTCACTGCCTCTCAGCCTGGCCTACCTCACAGGGTGGTTGTGCAAATAGAGGTGGAGGGGAAAGAACCACATACACCACCTTGAGCTCCCTGTAGAAAAGATGGGATATCATTGTGATAACATTCACACAATAGCACTCAATCAGAGCTTTCCAAACCGCATGTCATGACATGTTAGTGTGTCGGCTGCAGTGTGTAGGTGTGTCACATGAATGCCCCCCTTGCTTCTCCCAGGGCCGGAAAGGGATGAGTTTAACCTCTGGTTTGCTAGTAAAACTGAATTTCAGTACTGTGGCATGAAATGATACATCCCTAAAAAGTGTGTCGCCAACATGAAAAGTTTGGAAAGCTCTGCACTAAACACACAAGGCACAACAAGGCAGGAAGTTCTCCTGCAGAAGCCACTTTCAATCCAGTGGGAACTCAAGCAACACCACTGCCCTGTGGGGCAAAGCTGACACACTCAACAAGACAGCCCCAGCCTGCCTTTCCCGAAATTAGAGTTCACACTGGGGTGAAGAGGGCAAAACAAGATTAAGAACAGAAGCAGAAATATTTTGTTATTGGGGTGGGGTGGGAAAGAAAGCATGAAGCGCACAGCACAGGACACACCTGCAGACATTCTCCCTGCCCCATAAAGCTGGGTGACTGTTAAGGAGAAGGGGGATTGGCACCCGCGGGGGCGGGGGGGGCGGCGGGGAGGTAGCAAAGAAGAGGAAGGAGGGATGTTAGGGTGGAAGGAGAGAAAAACACAGAAGACACTTTGCAATTTCAGGTTGTTGTTTTTACATCCCTCCTTACAGAATTAGGAGACTCTCAAAAAAGAAGGAGGTTATTGGTGCTGATGGGGATTTTTTTGGGGGAGGGGTGTTACAAAAAAAAGCAAAAACAGCAACACAGGAGAGGGCACACGCTTCCAGGCACACACACCGTCCAGCTATTTTGCTATTTTCTTGCATTTCTCAACCCCTCTCTGTAAAACAAAGGAGCTGTTAGACAGGGAGTATTATTGAAGGTGGGGAGCATTTTACATCCCCACTCTTGAGTTTCACTATAATCCTGTCTAATGTTGGTGTAATTAACTGAGTTCTCATTACCCAGTTTATCTTATTGCACAGGAGATCCTGCCCTATTGCTAAATAATTAATATTAATAATACATTGTGGAGCGGCAGTTGGAAGGAGCTAACTTGATGACCCAGTTGGATGGCTTTAGAAGAGGATTAGGCAAATTCCTGGAGGAGGCTGTTCTCCCTCAACTATTGCAAGCTGCATGCCTCTGAACACCGGTTGCTAGCAATAACAAGTGGGAAGAGTTTTCTTGCATCCAGGTACTGCTTACAGGCATTTCAAGAGGCCTCTCCTTGCTCACTGTGAGAATAGGATGCTGGATGAGGTGGGCCACTGCCCAGTTCTCTGAGTGCATGTTCTGGAAGTTGGGCAATAGGGGCAGTACAGGATTCCTTTTGGTGTACCGACCTCCCCGCTGCACCAAGGATTCCCTGCCCGAGCTGCTTCAGGTCGTGGCAGATGTTCTCCTGGAGACACCTAGTTTGGTTGTCCTAGGGGACTTTAACATCCACGCCGACACGACCTTACAAGGAGCCGCTCGGGACTTCGTGGAAAGCATGGCCTCCATGGGGCTGTCCCTGAATAAGTCTGGCCCAACTCATAGCTGCAGACATGCCTTAGACCTGGTGTTTACCTCTATGGATGTTGGTGATCTGACACTAAGTAAAAGTGAAACTAAAGAAGTGTCATGGTCAGATCACTTCCTGGTGCAACTGGACTTCTCCGCGACCCTTCCCCTCAGCAGGGAGGTGGGACCGATTCAGATGGTCCTCCCCCGCCACTTAATGGATCCAAATGGTTTCCAAAGAGTGGTAGGGGATGCTTTGTCCCATGCTGATGGCCTTTCAGCTGATTCCCTGGTGGCCCGCTGGAACATGGAGTTAACCAGGGCTATTGACGTTGCTCTGAAGCATGGAGCCCGGACAGCCCCGTGGTTTTCCATGGATCTGAGGGCAATGAAACAATCGCTCAGATGGGTAGCGTGCCGGTGGCGGATAATTCATTCTGAAGCTGACCGAACACGGGTTAGAGCTCAATGTTGAGCCTACCAAGTGGCGATAGCGACGGCGAAGAAGACATTCTTCACCACCTCTATTGCGTGGAGAAAATAAACAGCAGCAGGAGACTCTTTCAGGTGGTTCGCAATTTAGCAGAACCACCTGCTCCATCAGGGCCCATTACAGGCCACATGATCTCCTGCAATGATTTTGCATTTTTTTTTTGCAGATAAAGTTGCTCAGATTCGGGAAGAGGTAGACTCCACCGTGGGAGCAGGGCCGGGGCGGGAGAGTGCTAGAATCCTGTCTAGTCAAGTTGCATGGGATCAATTCTAATCTGTTACCTCCAAAGATGTGGACAGGCTGCTTGGACGAGTGAAACCAACCACCTGTCTCCTTGATCCTTGCCCATCCTGGCTTATAAAAGCTAGCCGGGAAGGGCTGGATGATAGGCTTTGCGGGGGTGGGGTGGGGGGGTGAATGCTTCTTTCTGTGAGGGAGCCTTCCCAGATCTGCTGAAAGAGGCGGTCATTAAAACTGCTTCTTAAACAAACATCTCTAGACCCAGCCATTATGGCCAACTATCGCCCAGTCTCAAGTCTTCCATTCTTGGGCAAGGTGATTGAGTGAGTGGTTGCTGAACAACTCCAGGCATGCCTGCAAGAAGTGGACCATTTTGGATCCCTTCCAGTCAGGATTCAGGCCTTATCATGGGACTGAAACTGCCTTGGTCGCGCTGGTCGATGATCTCTGGCAGGCTAGGAAGAAAGGTGAGAGCTGTTTCCTAGCTCTGCTGGATCTCTCAACGGCTTTTGATACCATCGACCATAACATCTTTCTGGACAGTCTAGAGGGGCTGGGAGCTGGGGGCACTGTTATACAGTGGTTCTGCTCCTTCCTCCTGGGCCGTGTTCAGAAAGTGGTGGTGGCGGATGAGTGTTCAGACCCCTAGGGTCTCACTTGTGGGGTGCCTTAGGGTTCTGTCCTCTCCCCCATGCTTTTCAACATCTACATGCAGCCGCTGGGAGAGATCATCAGGGGGTTTGGGTTGGGGGTTCATCAATATGCCGATGATATCCAGCTCTACCTCTCTTTCAAATCAGAACCAGTGAAGGTGGTGAAGGTCCTGTGTGAGTGTCTGGAGGTGGTTGGAGGATGGATGGCAGCTAACAGATTGAGACTGAATCCTGACAAGACAGAAGTACTGTTTTTGGGGGACAGGAGGCGGGCAGGTGTGGAGGATGCCCTGGTCCTGAATGGGGTAATTGTGCCCCTGAAGGACCAGGTGCGCAGCCTGGGAGTCATTTTGGACTCACAGCTGTCCATGGAGGTGAAGGTCAATTCTGTGTCCAGGGCAGCTGTTTACCAGCTCCATCTGGTACACAGGCTGAGACCCTATCTGCCCGTGGACTGTATCGCCAGAGTGGTGCATGCTCTAGTTATATCTCGCTTGGATTACTGCAATGCTCTCTATGTGGGGCTACCTCTGAAGGTGACCCAGGAACTACAACTAATCCAGAATGCAGCAGCTAGACTGGTGACTGGGAGCGACCGCCGGGACCACATAACACCGGTTTTGAAAGATCTACATTGGCTCCCAGTACATTTCCGAGCACAATTCAAAGCGTTGGTGCTGACCTTAAAGCCCTAAATGGCCTCGGTCCAGAATACCTGAAGGAGCGTCTCCACCCCCATCGTTCTGCTGAGGTCCAGCACCAAGGGCCTACTGGCAATACCCTCACTACGAGAAGCCAAGTTACAGGGAACCAGGTAGAAGGCCTTCTCAGTAGTGGTACCCGCCCTGTGGAACACCCTCCCACCAGATGTCAAAGAGAATAACAACTACCAGACTTACAAGACACCTGAAGGCAGCCCTGTTTAGGGAAGCTTTTAATGTTTAACAGACCACTGTATTTTAATACTTTGTTGGAAGCCCCCCAGAGTGGCTGGGGAAACCCAGCCAGATGGCTGGGGTATAAATAATAAATTATTATTATTATTACCTCTTTTGTCACCACAATGTCCTGGCAAGGGCAGTGATACTGCTGTTGGCAGGAAATCAACACTGGCATGAATATGTCATCCATGGGAACCTGGGCTCTCTGAATCATGAGGGATGAAAGAGAACAAAGTATGAGAACGCTTTGTGAAGATGCGTTGAAGAACGTTTTAATGAGAACAATTTGTGAAGAACAGTTTGTGA